TATTAAAAATAATTTATTCAGTAATAATAGTGATAATACTGTACTGATAATATGTGCTATCCTCTCTCTAGGAAATTATTATAAACAAAAGCCTTTCCGAAAAAAAAATCCTGCGTGCGCCACTAATTTAAATATAATATTTAAAATTGTCTCAAGATATAATAATATCAGACAAAAGTAAATTGAAACGTATAAATCCTGCTTAAAGGACAAAGGTACACAGTAATTTAGTTTTTAAACTGTATGCAATTATAAATCATCGCAAATAAAAAACGATTCCGAGGAAAGTTTTTTCCCTTGTTATCAAGGTTATCCAGAAATAGACAAAAATCAAATAATATACGATGTGAGCCGCTAAAGGTATCGATAAATACGTATTTCAAATTAAGTACTACCGGTAGAAAGTCAACATCTTTTGCGATACTGCATGAAAAAATTGGAGCATTTGCCTAACCAAAAAATTGTTAAAAAAAAACTCAAAGTAATTTTTAAAAAAGAAGGATAATAGAAATACTTCACACGATGGGTAAGCCACAGTTTTAGATGAGAAGTTGGGAAGGTAGGATATAGAGAGGAATTTAATGTATATCTGTACGAAACGATTAACTATTGTTAATCGGTTATAATGTTTTAAAAAGTCGTAATATTAAGGATTTTAGTCAAAATTTAGTATTAAAATTCTTATAAAAAAAAAAAAAAGTACTGCATTAAATTCAACTTGTCTTTGCTGATTACTATAAGTAAAACTTATAATGAACCTCCAGTTAAATTTTCAATACCCATTCTAACCTAACACCTAACCAACTGAGTCACTATGGTTAATGTCAACAAATACCTATTTTCGGGTTTGTAACTATTATATTATTATTTTTATTAATACGCGTATACGGCAGATAAAAAAAACGTATCGCGCGACGGCGAAATAAAATAAGTAGGTACTCGCAGGGCGTTAAACCAACGAAAACCATTTGGATACCGGCGGAAATAACATCGAAAAATGATCGTTCATGCGCACGTATAAGGTTATAATAACGCCCCTGATCCAGAAAAAACGCAAAAAAGGAAAGGTGAAAAATCGAGACGATGGCTTATAATAGACGAAAAAACCAAAAACAATTATCGCGAATAGAACGCACGGAAATTAATTAATTTGAATAAAATTGTACGATTGTACACAAACATTTATTCAATATTTGTAAACCTACAATTATTAAATAGATATATTTAATTATAAATATTTAAAAAAAATTTTCGTTTTACAGTAGAATACAATATTTATTTTCCCAACAATATAAAATATATTATAATTTATGAAAGAAACTTTAATTTTAAAAATTTGGATAACTTTGGATAAATATTTATTTTAAAATCATTATTAAATATTTTTCAAATGTTTATCACATCGATGTTTTAGAAAAGAAGATTTTGTCTAAATTGTCATCTACTTCTGTATATAATTGTGACGTAGCTGCCAATGTCAATTCACTATTTTTTATTTGTACTAATGTTTGATCAGCAGATTTAGGTCAGCAGATGTAGCGTGTCCATTATTGTGCACCTCACGCGATGTTGGGAACCACCGGTACGTTCTAGCTCAAGCATATGGACTATACTTACTATTATATTACATAAACATTTACCGATGTCCAATGTACGTGGTAAACAGTTTGATGTTATTGCATTACTAAGAAAAAAAACAACGTGAATCCACTCGAACGCGAAAACATACGTGTTGCTCGTTCAGCAAACAAATCGCATCATTTAGTTAAACGTGTTTTGAAAGGCTGTAATGTTTACACTTTTCAAATTATGCATTTCGTATATTTTCTTTCCATTTTTCCTATGTTTCATCCCGGTTTTCCCCATTTTTGGGGGAAAACTCCTTGGAAAATCGAAAAAATGACCCCTCTACAATACCACTCCCGGAAAAATTCCCTTTCAGAAAAGGTGCTATACTTGATATTTCAGACCAACATTTTTGGTAGAATTTTTGTGTACAGTATAAAAAAAAAAGTAATGTAGAAAAACAAATAAACACGATTGTAAAACCAATAAATTCCTCGCTTCGTTTAGAATCTAAAAAACAATTAGTCAATTAAATGTCATGAACGAAAAATCCGATTTTTTCAGATAATATGAGATAATGAAATCAGAGCATATTTACTATTCATTAAAATATCATATTAAAAAAGACTGTCCTATGATAATGGGGACATGTGCAGGCACTTTTATTGGTGAAAATTTGGGAAGGTAGAATATAGAAGAGAAATTAATTTGTATCTGTAAGCAACAATAAACCATTGCTTACTAAAAACGATTCTGAGAGGAGTTCAGTTGGTATTGATGCTTTGTCAACAATATAGGTATGTGTCATATTATGGTAAAATAATTAAATAGGCATTATATATTATTTTCTTTAATAATAATTGTTTAATATTGTACTAATGATTTACCTGGTTTCCACATGTTTTTTTCTCAGTTTTTCAGATTTGCTGGGAAAGCTTTCGAGGAAATCGAAAAATAACCTCCCTAAAGTACCTTTTCAGTCAGATTTTCTTTCAGAAAAAGTACTATCATTCTAAATCGGAGTAAAATTGTTGATAAAAAAGTTGTCGACAGAAAAAAAAAAATCGTAATGACATTGATTAAATATACTATAATATTTAATGAATGACAATAATATATTACTACTAATATATTTCATACATTTTCTCGTTTTCCTCCGTTTTTCATATTTGATGAGAAAACTCCTAAGAAAATCGAAAAATGATCTTCTTAAATACTAAAGTACCACCCCAAGAAAATTTCCTTTCAGAAAAGGGACTACATCGTATACATCGGGAGTAAGCTTTCTGGTAGAAAAAGAGTTCACATAAAAAAAAAAAAAATGAAATTTGAAAAAAAAAACATTTTTGTATAACCAATAGACATTCTTTGCTCCACTCAGAATCTAAAAAAAAAAACATATTCTTCATTTTACCGAGAATCTAAAATCGATCGCGATACATTTTATTTCTTTAAATGAGGCTAATGTTTAATAGTTATGGCTGATATAAAATAATTAAAAACATGCATAACATAGCCACTGTTGTAGGTGGGAAGTTTCGAAGGCATCTGATATCGCGTAATTTAGTTTATTTACCGAAAGTAATGATTTATATTGCAATCAAAACATGTATTATGTAATCCAATAAAGTCTTTATTGAAGTCAAGGTAACTTAATCAGCAATAAAAAATCAATGCATCGTCATTTGATGTCAATTGTTTTTAATTGTTAATAAAATGTGTTGGCGATCAGACAAATTTTTTACACAAAGCATACAGCATATCGAAAAATTAATTGGTATACGATGAAAAAAGTTTGAAATATTTTTACTAACAAAAAAGAGTGGTTACAAAGAGAAAGAGACGTCCTAGGATAATGGGGTCGAGTGCAGCCACTGTTATAAGTAATTTAATGTATACCAGTAAGCAACGATAAACCATTACTAACGAAAAAACCATTCTGAGCGGAGTTCAATTGATAATTATGCTTTGTCAACAATATAAATGTCATATAATAGTAAAATAATTAAATAGACATAATATATTTTCTTTAATAATATTTGTTTAATATAGTATTAATTTTCCCGGTTTTCTCATGTTTTTTCATGGTTTTTCACATTTGCTGAGAAAACTAATGGAAAAATAGAAAAATGACCTCCCTAAAGTACCTCCCCATACTAATTATACTCTATTAAATTTTCAAAACGGTCATAAAATATTTTATCATTCATTTAATTAATATTCCGTCATTTCACAAGTATAATTTACATATCAATCATTTATTATCATTAAAAAATTCGGAACTCGCCTCGTATGCTACCTACATCGAAGGTTCTCAAACTTTTTTTTCTGCATATCACTTATAATTTATGTGGATTATGAGTCTGTCACGTAACACTTATGACTAAATTCATATAAAGAAATACAGAATGGAAGCTATAGAAAACAGCTTCAACAGCTTCAACAGTCCATAGTCAAATGTAATAAAACTGGCCACTAGTTTTGTGTAAGTACAAAATATATAAAAATTAATTTAAAAATCATTTGAATCAATTAAAATAATCTATGGCTAGGTATAACATACGCCCACAAATTAAGATATCTTAGGGCCGTTTCACACGAACCACTTTACGTGTCGCCACAGAAAAGACACAGTGACGCCACTGATAAAAATACATTATTTTTAATTTATGCTTTCACTTGTTGTGCCGCCACGAAATTGTGTTGCCACAGATGCGTTTGTGTGGTCGGTCCTCGCTAGAAATCGCGCCACAGTTAGTGACACATTTGAAAAGTGCATTAAATTCATACGGACCACGCCACAAGCGACCACAAGTGTCTAGTAGCCAAAATAATAACCAAATAATAATAAGTGATACACATTAGCGTTGCGTGAAACTTGGCGATCCTAGGGAGGCAGAGGCCCCCTTTAATACAGAAATTAAATTATTAATTAGTGATTCTGGAAGAAGTTTTAATTAGGATAAATATTTTCCTATGGATTTTTTATGTCATGATAAATTTAATGCACCCCTATTGCGGACATACCTTAAGCCGCTTAAGGGCACGGGGGCCCCGGCCTAAGTACGCCACTGTAAGCACTTAATAATATAATATAATACATAATACACTGAAAAATACATTATGTAGCTAACATGTGACTATCGTGTGAAACCATATGGTTTGCGTGGTTTTAGTGGTCCATGTGAAACGGACCTTAAAGGTCGATTCGCGCTATACGGAACGTTACCGTCACGTCATAGACCGGCAGCGTAACGTCAAAATAAATCTCCATGCATTTAAATGGCAATGTTCACACTGACCGGCCAAGTAACGTATCGTCAACGTCACGGAACAGAAAGTTTTATCGAAAACTAATTTTTGACGTGACGTTGCCTGTCCTTTCCTGATCAATTTTGGTAGTATGAATTCGTAATTAGAACGGATCCGTCATATTATATTATATTGATTTGACACATTCTAAAATAATCGTAAAAAGACATTTCTTCATCTTCCAATTCCTTGAATAAAGAGTGGTATTCTTCAAATTTTCGCGTAGTAAATATTTTTCTAATCCATGTTTTCTTAGCTCTTCTTTTTATCTTATTCTCTTCTTCATCGTCCAAAATTAGTGCAATCATAGCCAATTTTTTTTGTACTTAATTTAGGCATGTTATAAAATTGAACATTTCACGGGAAACACAGAAAAAAGGAAAAACAAACGTACAACGGACCGATAGACACTAGACAGTGTAGGTATTTGCGTGACGTTGCCGGTCAAGTGTGAATATATTTCTTTTTTGACGTGACGTTGCCGGTCTATGACGTGACGATGACGTTCCGTATAGTGCGAATCGACCTTAATTTGTGCATACGCCGGCATCGGTATCAGCTTATCGCTACACTATGGATAATTTTAAATTCGGAGCGTAGCGAGGCAGCTTTCGGTTTTACTGGCTGGCTGTTTATTTTTTTTCTTTCTTTGTTCTTTGTTCTAGTCTGTGGACACGTTTTTTCCTGGTAAACTTATTCCGATTTTTACGTGTAACAACTGTAAGCTCAAGTTGTCCAGATTATACTTTAGAGAAGTAATTTTTTGATGTTCGACGCCATTTTATAAATAAAAGCACTTCAGTGGGAAAAAACGTAGGAAAACGTACAATTTCACGATTTCATTATTTTATAAAAACACGGACGACGTTTTCTACCATGCAATTATTTGTATTCTTTTATTTATTTTTTTAACTCATACCTACCAAATTTGTATTAATAAATATGTTTTTTAAAATTAATAGAAATTTGTTTAACATGACAAATGGCAGCGGAAATCTTTACAGGATCAATTTTTAAAGTTTTATTTTGTATTTCCATATCAATATCCTTCGACAAAATATGGTCAATCGTGACGTAAAAAATAGCTTTTATGCTCAATCGTTATAACAGGTAAATCGGTAGCATTACAATATATTAATAGGCCCCCCCCTCCTCAAGGTGATTACATTATAAATTATTAGAGCTTAAGTTAATCACATTGACCTATAAACAAATTATTATTTAATTATGAATACATTTGTAAATAGGTACGGTTGTAATAAATACGGTTGATCGATCATTATTATTAATTAGGCATTCGTCTGATTTATCAGCCTTCTCTTGTTAAGTGTTTTCGTGACGACGTCAATATTGTGTTATCGTCGTGACCGTATGGCGTATTCAGTTAATTAATGAAAACAAGACTGAGTATTTATAAGTGTATTTAGATAATTCATGCCTATTCGATTCGGAGCATGCCGAGAGATCTATTATCGATTTGATTATGATGCGTGTTTTTCTCTCTCTCTCTCTGCAAACAGCTTTTCGAAAAGAAATCTTGCTGCGATATATAGAGTATTAGAGCGTGGCAGATTTTCTGAAAGTTTTCTAGTTTCACATTTTCTAGTTGATGCACTTATGAGGTAATTTTTTTGATTTTCCAAGGGGTTTTCAAAATAATTGAGAAAAACCGGAAACAAAATTATAGGTAAAACGGCAAATATCTATGGCACACTGCAGTGGTTACCGATTCCTTTATTTTAAATTTGTACGGCTTACGTTTTTTAACGATATGATGTAAGGTTCTCGGTAATGTAAAAAAAAATGCCTTGACGCGGTTGAAAAGTATCACAAAAGTGATTTTTAAATAAATCCACTTTCTCAGCGTCCGAAGAAGCAAGACTACCGTCTGATTACAATATCGGGATTGCTTAGCTGCCTTCCAAAGATAACCATTATTATTGGTTATTATTATCATTATTGGTAAAAATATTTGTTAAATAGCTTTCTATGGAAAGATATTTATTTCTAGACAAGGTTCTTTGAAGAGAATTAGCTAAATTATTGTACTTATGTTTATCTAATGGCAGGCGGGTCTCTAATACAGAGCTCTCGCTAGCCGCTTTTCTGGTATAAGCATTCGTGTGCAAGATGGTAAGGGAATTCAGTTTACAGGCCGATGCGTGGATGAATTGGATGACCATGCTTATTGAATGGCATTAGTAATATAATTCACTGTTTGATTGATGTCATCAATAGATTTTAGCTTAATATTTAATATTATTTCCTGATTTATTTTGTCATGTTCAGAATCTAAAAAAAAAATTGGCTAGTTCAAAAATAAATTAAAAAAAGATATTAATTAATTAGAAGTGGTTAATTATTATTTCCATATATACTATAAAGGTAAAATGTTTTATTATTTAAATTATTTTAAGTTAACAAAATTCAATCTTGGGTGGTTATTGTTTGTTAATGTCATAATTTATAAATTAATGTAAACGTTTTTTAAGTTTCAATTTGTTATTGTCAAATTGATCAAACAACATGAAATAAACGCTCATGAATTGTGGCATCATCTACTCTAGTAACTTTCTACTATAACAATTGTAGCAAACAAATATTATGTATTTTAGTTTTTCAAATAGGTACTCCGATTGTGATTAATGTAATGCTAAATGCATAATGTTACGTAATGTTACATAATGTTTACAGTTATATTAATATGTATATTATATTGTTGTACTCAATAAATATACATTTATAATCATAAGTAGTATGTATATGTCTTTCAAAATTTTTGAAAACTGAGACATTGATAAATTATGCAATTGTATGCTGCAAATTTTAATCTATTCGTTTAAATTAAAACTATATAATAAATTATTATATTTAAGTATGATTACAACTAATTTATACTATTTCACATAAATAGGAAATTTATAACTAAAGGGCGGATGTTTATGAATTTATTATATTTTTTATAACATCTAAATTAATGCAGAGTAAGATAGAAATTTGTTTCATTACTCAAAGAAATTAAATTACCAATTTAATTTTGCATATTTGTTCAATTTTTACTTGTTTGATCATATTTTTAGTTCATATTTGATGTTTTCGTAATATATAATGTAGGTACAATAATTATTTTTACCAAAACTGGAAAAACCTACGATAGTACTTCTAGATACAATATTAATTGTAGCGATGAATTTTATGTCAATTTTTCAGTTGTGTACGTGTTTCGCATTTCATTTGTTTTGTTTTTGTCCTAAGTGAGTTTCTATATTACATAAAGCTTTATAGCTATTTATTTCAAAATGTCGAAAACTTCCAAATCGTCACGACTACGTATTTTTGTTTCTGAATTATAATTTTTTTACTACCGATGGAATTGTTTTAAACAGTACTTTATGTAATAGATACTTCGGTAAATGGTAATCGACGTTTTTTAGTGCTCAAGCATATTAATACTAATAAACATATCAAAAATTCCAAAAATAAATCTTTGTCAACAATAATTTTATTGTAAATATTTTAAATAAATTCTAAGCCTATTTTTATACCTTAAGTGTATAATTGCATGCATATTTTTCAATTTTTTAAGCATAAACATCTGCTCTCTATTTATAACAGTTTTTATTGGTTGTTGCTGAGAAGCAACACCATGTATTGTAGGGTTTATTAAGCTATGATAAAATAATAATAATAAAAACAGCACCAATCAATTGACTTGTTTATATTCTTACAGGACTATAACAGAAATAAAAACTCATAAAATTTCAACACTCATTGAAGAATTTAATTTTATTATAATTATGATAAATAACATAAAAACATAAAAACCATTGCAAAAAATAAAATAAAAAATGAATAAATAAATATAACAAAAAAAAAAAATGTTTATAATATAATAACAAGAATAATTAATAAATACTATAACAATGAAATATAATAAGCCAGTGGCATAACAAAGAATATTATTAAAATTGATCAATTTTTTTTTAGGTAATGGATAATATAATTAAATAAAAATGTTATTTTTGATCAAAAGCTTTAACATAATAAGTAATCTTCTATACTATTAGATTAGCAATGCCACTGTCCTAAGCCATTACATATTATGTATACAATATAGTATTAAAAAAAACAAGCTAAAATATTATTAACAAATTTCATGCAACATAGAATATAGTTTTTGGAGTTAAATGAGATTAAAAGTTAACTTAACGTTTACAATTATATAATACCAAATTTTAGATTACCGAGAACCAGAGTTAAATGTCTGCATAGAAATTATGCTTATATAATTATAAGAAATCTGAACAGTCATCATATAAATCTTTAATTATAATACAATACATTTAAGTTATAAATATAAAATAATATCCTCTGTAAAAACATTTTTTATATCAAACATGTTAATATTCTGAATATAATATTAAATGATTAAGCACCAATTTCAAGACTTTTAAGTTTCAATGGTCAACAAGATCAAAACAATTTATTTATTATAGTTTGCATTGTATTAATAAGTGGTACATACTTTTACCCTGATTGAGAACTATTGTGTTTATAATTTATAAAAAACTAATATCTTTAGAAGAATATATTTAATATGTATACAATATAAATTTGTTGAAGTCTTTTAATTTTATTTCAAATAATACATCAAAAATAGAAAATAGGCACATAGTTTGCATATTCATTAAACAACATGAGTTCAATTTAGTATTCCTTTAGATTTAAATCTGAATATAGTTAAACAAGTTAAATAACATTTCTCTAAGGAAATCAAAATTAGATTTATAAATATTCTATATATTTTGAATTGATTTTTTTAAATTGCCTGTGTAAGTGCTCTATTAAAATCTTTCAGTGAATTATCTATCTATAAAATATTTTAAACATATTAACAGGCTGTTATTATAAACATGTTTATAACAAAAGAACTATAAGAATAAAATTTGTTCAACATTTAAAATATACAATAGAAAATGTAAAATTAACTTACACGGTTTAAAGATTATGTAATAATTATTTGACACAAAATTTATGTTTGGCAAAAACAAATTCAATTGGATTCTATATAATAAACACGCTTAAATACTAATAAGTATAATATATATAATATAATACCCTCCTATTTAAACAAGCAAATGCATAAAAATGCCTTTAGTGTATATTCGAATGTTTAGATCTAGTAATGTAAAAATGTTAAATATGAAATTTAAAAATATAATATATAATTGCAGTTGATAATAAAATATTCAAATTTTTTTATCAGGTTCTCAGCAATTTTGCTTATAACAACATACAGATGTAAGTTAGTGTAAACACAATATAAATTTGAATAACCAATTGTTTCTTTACTATGCAAAAATTAGTAATTATGTAAAATTGTATAAACTATGTAAGAATAGATGTAATAATTAAAATAATTTTTAAAAATTGTAATATAAATATTAATTACCAGCAAATAATATTTTTAAATTTAAAACTATAAAAATATTTATTATAGATTTTAGAATTTAAAAAAAAAATGCAAAAGCTTTAAAATTGTAGTAAATGAATATAAATATTATAAATTAGACTTTTAGCCGACAACCAAAGCTGTAAGACATTTTTTGTAATCACCCGATGTATCACTCTAAAACATAAATAGTATAGCAAAATAACATTAACAAATACAATAAATACATATTTCAATAAAATAATAATCAATTTTTTTTTTTTAAATGGTTAAAAATAGATAATAAATCTTCAATAATATTAACTAATCATTTTTAGGCTACAGTAATAATTTCATGCAAAATTGCTTATAAATTGTATAAAATAGTTTGGTAATCAACCAAGATAGACTTGGTAAACTATTTTTCATCTACTATAATTGCACAACTCACCATAAATGTATCAGACTGTTGATTGACATAAACAAAAGATAATGCAATTTTAATATTTTTTGTAAACCATTGTAGAAATTAATTATTTAATTCTTAATATTGATTAAAAAAAGATAACATCAATTTAATTGTAAATTAGTTTAGCGGGTATACTTTTATATAAACTATAAACAGTTTGAATTTAGCAAAATAATTTTTATAAAATAATGTGACTACATTCATGTATGTATTTTTGTGTTAAATGATAAATAGATTTTTTTTTTTTGACTATGCATACTAATGTTAATTTTGGAAAATAATAATTTAAATAATAGAATTTAGTACAAAAGTACAAAAATTAATGAAATAAAATCCTTACCGCAATATCAGCTTCCAAAGACTTTCCATACATTGACATGTAAGCATTTTTTATGTCAACCATATCTATTTCGCAACGAGTAGCAACAATACGAATCAAAGCTCTGTCGTGTGTACCAAAACCATCCATACATTCATGTAAGCGTTTAGCATAATATGCACTTTTGTTTCTTACAGATTTAACTAAAAAAATATACAATACATTTGCTATTATAGTATAAAATATTTAAGAGAGAAAATCTAAATAATACTTATAAAAGTTCATACCAATTGCTCGTAGTCCCTTTTCAATGTCTCCACTAAATTCACTCTTGATAGTGTCTTCGAAATCTCGACCAGTTAAACGGTGATATTCCAAAAATACCTGTTCTAATTGAGAGTAACTACGACTGCACAAAATCATGTTGAATGTAGATTCATCAGTACCAAACTGAAGTTGACCTATAAAATTACAATAGTTAATTAAATATTTTCATGTATAATTAATAATTTATAATTATATACATTTTTCAACTATTTACCTGCTTGTAACAAGTTTTGTGCATCAGTTTGAGCAGATGCAACATCAATATGTGTGTTTTCACTGCGGCGTCCCTATATAAATAATTATTATCATTTGAAAAAAAATATATGTTATTATTTAAAAAATAACAAACCTGACAAAGAGAAACTAATAGTCTGCGGAAAGTCCCAGATGTTTCTCCTTTTAGATCTTTCTCTAAATCATTACCAAATACTATAGAAAATGATAATATTTATATCAGTTTATAAAATAAATAAATTAACATTTGTTTAAAATTAAATTAACTGACATTTGTGGTATGCCATTTTTATATTATTGATCTCAGCATTAGACGCCGAGCATATAATTTCAATTATTGTTTCTTCGCAAGTGCCAATACCATCAACAGCATAATGTAATTCACTAGCAAGAAAATCATAAGTTGGTGTCATGAGTGCTACAATTAAGTCTTCTAACTTTCCACCCAATTCACTTTTCAGATTGTCTATTAAATCCTGGTTGATATAATCAAACATTTTATTCAAAAAAATATAATATAATTATTTTAGTAAAAAATTATATCCAACAACAAATACGATGATTATTATTCCAACCACTTACTTTGCCATACATAGTCTTAAATTGAATAGCAATTTGCTGTCGTTGAGAATTGACTCTGTGAGCCAAGACCTGTATGATTGCTTTTTCATCTGTTCCAATTCCTTTCATAGCTTTACGCAATATTTCTGCATCACGTTGTGCATCAAATGGATTTGCTGGGCGTAGTGTTGGATTAGACTAAATAAGAATAATTATTTATTTTTATCATAAACTTATAAATTAAAAACAGCTATTGTTTACTATTTTTTTTTTCATTATTATAATTAACCCTTTAATAAGCAAATAAGTTTTATTTCTATGAAAAAAGTGTATTATACAGAGTGTCCTAAGGTCATAATCAAATTTTTTTTTTTTAAGGATAATTCTTATGTTTTGGTAAAAAAATTAAAAAATTCTCTTCGATTTATTATTTTCAAAAATATGATGTTAATTTTTAAGTTTATTGATTTTTCTGAAAATTTTGTTTTAACTTCTAATTTTTATTAAATTTGTGATTTTTAATAATTTTTTAAAGTTCAGAAAAAAGTACTTATAATTATGCAGCAAGCTGTATTCACATACCCTAATTGATTATGATTACTATGAACTTTAAATAATTTATTAAAAATCATGAATTTAATAAAAATAAAATGTTGATAAGTAAAAATTTCAAAAAAATTTACTCTATATAATGGCTATCTTCAAATTATTTAAAAATAATAAAATAAAAAGTTTTTTTTCTAAACATACTAAATTAATTAAAATATAAATATTTGTAGTCCACATCCTTGTGAGTAAAAGAAAAACGTAATTTTATTATCTTTGGAGATATTACAATGAGTATATATTTGTGGAACACCTGTATATAACACATATATTTTTCATTTTAATATTCTCAATATTACTGTTAACTTAAAAAAGGGCGTACAAAATATAAATAGCAAAATTATTAAATTAATCATCCTATTATCAGAATTTACACAATAGACTTTTAATGTTAATTAAAATAATGGTTAATTAGGTTAATTAATCTTATTGCATTAAATTTATTAGAGCTAAATGTTTTTTTTTTTTTTTTTGTAAATAAAATAGGTATTGCTTAAGTTTACTTAATATTTTTTATTTCATTATTCATAAAAATTAAATTATTTTTTAAGTATTTTGTAAAGATAGTTAATACAAGTTAATACTACTTAAATTATAAAAGGGGTTTCACAATTTAGGAAATAACTATAAACTTGAAAAACTTATATACTTCTATTAAAATATAAAAATAGGAATAATAATAATTATACATATATTATATATTAATATTTGTTTTCAAAAAAATAATAACATCTCACCTTCTTCTGTGCAGGAGCGCTATTCACTGGTTGATAATGAGCAGGAGAGCTAACAGGTGGATATGATGCTTGTGATGGAATTTGAGAGCCACCTCCATATCCACCGGCTTGTTGAGTGTAAGGATTCACAGATTTTGATGGATAGTTGGACTGTGGTTGGACATTTGGATATGAAGTAGCTTGTGATTGATATGGGGACGGAGGATACTGTCCTGGCATAGACGATGTCGGATACATGGATGGATTTGGAACATATGAACCAGAATTTGGTGGATATTGACCAGGTTGTTGTGATGGATATTGACCAGGTTGTTGTGATGGATATTGACCAGGTTGTTGTGGTGGATATTGACCAGGTTGTTGTGGTGGATATTGACTAGGTTGTTGTGGTGGATATTGACTAGGTTGTTGTGGTGGATATTGACCTACTTGTGGGTAGGGACTTTGTTGAGGATAACTAGGTTGACCTGTTGGATAAGTATTTGGCATTGGATAACCTTGTTGTCCAATATTACCAGCTGGATATTGTGAATAAGAAGGTTGGGAGCCAGGCATTCCAGTCTGTCCAGGCATTCCAGGCATTCCAGTTTGTCCAGGCATTCCTGGCATTCCTGTTTGTCCAGGTATTCCGGATTGGCCTGGGTATCCCTAACAAAAATATCAGATAGAAAAATAATTTAATTAGGTACTAATATTAATTATTACAATTACAGTTATTTTAAATTTTGTTTTCTTTATTTTATAATCTAGTGAAATAACTTACCTGATTGTTTGGTGGATATCCTGGATAGCTCATTTTATATATATATAATGTATATATTTACTTTTTTATAATTTGTCAATATTTTTCTTTTATAGTGTATACTATACACCCTTAAACAAGAATTACAAATCAAACTGATGATCAATCACTAGTGATAATAATAAAGTATTTAGTACAAATAAAATTGTAAATTTTAATAGAAACAAGTCAACAAAAAAAGGGCGATAAACATCTAACAGCAAAATAATACTGAAGGTCTTTACCACGGATATAAAATAAATATATTACTTATCTATGATATATATATAACTGGTCACAATATGAGGGGCGGGGGACAGGGGGTAAGCCATACAAGTTTACTCTCTTATCAACAACACTGTGACCAACGGATTTTAGCGCTACCAGTGGTTTTATTTGGAACCACATTTATATTAAATTTTTTACTGCTAAAAAAAATCCATATTCTTACAATTTTGACATCTTGGCATCTTGACATCATCAAGGCATTTATTGTTAAAACAATTTTTATTAAAATAAATATAAATAAATATTGTAATAATATAATGAATACGCGTAAATGTGATGTGAAAGAATGCACTGATGTAAAAATAAATCTTATGAATTTTTTATTTAAGCTACCAAAAGCTAATTATTTAATTTAGAAATTAGCAGAAATTATCGTTTTTCTATTGGACCAATATTTTTAGTCGAAAAAGTAGTTTGCTAAAATGAATATAAATTTAAAACTTTTTCGGGGAATAAAAAAAATTCTAACCATTTTGCTGGTCCAACGATGGTGTCCGGACTCTAACCGGTGACCCAAAATCCTTATTATGCACAAAACTATCACAACCTACAGTAGCGGGTTTAGTACTTTGCCTAGGAGGGGGGAAAGTTGGTCAATATTTTATATATACATACTCATATATAATTAGAAAAATATTATTTACGCGTACAGACGTAGGTACATTTAAACAAAATGTTTACGGGGATATCCATGGCCCCTTTGGCCCCATCCACCGCCGCCCCCAATGACTTATTATACTACCTATCGCAAACACCTTACGATAAGCGGAAAATATAGATTAGATAGGAGGAAATCTGGAATAAGTTAACAATATCATTTATTTTTTATCTTTGTACAAGTCCTATTATATAATAATAGTATATATTGTATTATATAATAAATAATACTACTACAGCGCCCTCTCAGACAATAAGAGCACTACAACATTCGTTCGTTTAAATTGGTTGTTGAATCGCTATAAATCGATTTAGCCTTAAAGAGAATGGACTATTTATTCGTGATCTTGTTAATGGTTTTGAGCATAGATAAGGTTTCGAGTTTCGACGTTATTTTTGTTTGGATTCTGTTGATTCGGAAAAGTTGAACGTTGGGAAATCAGAAACCCGCGTAAAATACTGTAAAAAAAAGTAAGAAACGGGATACACCGATTATTGGAACATTTAAAGATTTTCATTAAAGAAACTATAATATACATTCTAGATCTTATAGTTAGGATTCAAGACCTATAGTCATAGAGAATATTACTCATTCCACATTGCACTTATAATCGTGAAATGTGAATGAGTCTATGACGTGGATAGTTTATTATATTTATAATTTAACTTTGAAGATACAATACTTAAAATGTCGTCTTTAATTATATTTAATTTACCAAATAATGTAAGTATCATAATATGTAAATAATTTTAATTGTTAATATTGGTATACCTATATCGATAATTTTTTCTTCTTAGATAACTAAAATGGAATTGATGAAAACATTTAGTCAAAAAGGAAGTGTTACAAATATTCAAATTATATTTTCTGTTGAAAATGAATGTTGTTTTTTTGCATTAATAACGTTTCAAACTGAAGAGGAAGCAAAAATTACTCAAAATTATTTCAATAAGACTACTCAATATTCATCACGCATCAGTATCGAACGGTGTACAGAGAGAAGTAAATATTATGAAAAGCAATAATTATAAATTTACCTATTCATTTTTTGGATATTCCTTATTTTTATGAAACTTATTATATTGTAATATGTCTTGATTTAATGATTAATTTTGTTATATGTTTTGTATGTAGTTGACAATGAAATGGTAAAAAGTACTGTTCAACATCCTAAAGTTAAGCCACAAAACAATGAAATTGCAAAATATGAACCTAAAGAACCAACATATAATATGTCCAGTTATTTGGCAAATTCACCACACCGTAAAATCAATTTGCCAAGTTATTTAGACAAATTACCTCATACTGAAGGTTTGATTGATTATTATTATTATTATTATTTATAAAATAATATGTGTCCTATTAAATATCAATATAATTATTAGTACGGTATTTATATTTTACTTTTAGGCCAATGGAGTGTTATAAATCAAACAGGAAGGCAAATTTATTCAAAATCATTTATGTTATCACTTGAAAATAAGCCTATTTGTCTTAAGGAACCTATGGAAACGGTTGAAAAACATTTATCAAAATCATTCAATAATGTCCAAACAGTAGCAAAAAAAAGTTTGATTTTATTTTAAAATAATAATATACCTAACCCGCTTTTTTGTTCTTTTATCTCCTTTTTCCTCGCATTAAAATTACCAAAATGGTTTATCTACCTTACTTTATTCCTCGTTATTTTATTCTCAATAATAATCATTTTTGAAACCTTTTTTATAAAGTGTGATTTCTTTTATGTACATTTCTTTTTTTATTCCTTACTAAGTATAACCTAGGCCAGCTTACTTTCTAGACTAATACTATCTTACTCCATTGTTTGATAATCTTGTTCTCTATTGGTTCATTTTCGCTGATTTTCACATTTTCATGTTTTTCCACATTTGTGGAACTGTCTTATTGTACCATGCTTTTTGTTTTAATCAGTGATGTGCACTTTGAATAGTTTATACTATCAATAGTTATTGATAGTTTGTATGAACTATCAAATATTCAAATAGTTTTATTTGGTATTTTTCATATTATGAAAATATAGGTATTTATAAAAAAAAAAAATTGAACTAGCTTTACAATTAAAGATTGAGTATTGGTTATTAACTGTTGTTAATAATAATGTATTACAATATATTTTAGCTGAAAAAAAGAATGAAAACCGTTTAATACCAGTGACTGAAGAAACAATAACCAATGTCCAATCTACTCTAGATATTGAACCTGTTGTTACAAGTACTGTAAGTAAAAATTTAAAAAAAAGTTATTATAATTGGATTTTTAATTTATTCACAAATTACTATTAGACCCATAGCCAAGTGAGTATATTGGGTTTATTTTAATGTGTAACCCATGATCAGTAACTTACATTTTTTGTATAAGTATTATATTCAGATTATTTTTTCTGTGGGAAAAAATAAAAGTGTATGAACACATAGTAATAGTTGATGAAGTTAAAGATTTGTATACTTTGAAAAAATCATCTATCTATATAGATGCTTATAAGTGTATCCTTTTTTAAAAAAAAATTTGGTACGGGCTTTGCTTGGCTCTGCTTAGAAGTGTCTAGAGGTGTCACTGTTAGGAGTACAAATGTACTCCTAACAGTGACACTTCTTGAGATCTTTCACTAATTCCTGATTAAAATTAATCATGGCATACACCACAGTGAAAGAGTTGATGAAACTCTCCTAGTGGCGGAAGAGTTCAGTACAAAGTCCTTATACTCTGGCTCAAGCAAAGAAGACAGGATTGGAGAGGCTCTAGAGTTCTTTTTGGCCAACCTTCTTAAACTATTAAAAATCATCCTAATTTTCAGTGGGGTGCATACTTCTCGTTCATTAATTTAATTTTCTCCAGAGGTAACCACAACTACATCTTCTCCCTCTCTCCACCAAAGAATGCGGTGCTAATTCAGCATTTAATAAAAAGGACACAACGTGCCATATCAAATTTGCGTTTATCAGAGATAACTTTGTACTGTTATTTTTAACATTAATATGAACTTATCCATTACTTAACTTTATGATAATATTATCTGTGCATTGTTGTTGCTTTATTTTTGATGTTTGAATTGTCCAGCAAAATATAAGCAAATTTTCTTTGCCATAAGTTTGTAAGACGGAAACAACACATGTGGGTATCATGCTCTCTGAAATTTTTGAGACTTTTATCGCCTCTCAAACACATCATAGTAAAACTAATACATTCTCCTTTGTACTTCAAATCTAAAAATAAATTTGTTAACATTTCCTAAAATAAGAAAGGCCAATCAAAATAAAAATGTTTTATTAATAAAGACTGCATGCTTTTTGATACTAAAAAGAAAACAGCATTATTAGACCATTCAATTTACAGGACTATTTGGAAAACCAAGAAGTTGCTGACAAAATAAATTTGGAATGTGAAACTATCTTAGATACATTTTCTCAAATGCAAAATTTGGAAGTATGTATTAAATTAACATATATTTTAAATAATATGAGCAGTGCCAGATTTTAAACTCTATGGTGCTTTGGTGCAAAACAAACTTTTAGGATTTCCTTGGGAAAACATTTCAGCATAGTACCTTTGTCAATTTATTAAAAAAAAAACCAATATATTAATTTTACTATTTTAATGGTACTTTGATATCAATAATATTAGAGACCCCAAGTATTTCAGAGTACAGAAGCCCTCTTGCAGTATACTGTTTGCACGGGTGATTTATCTGGCACTTAATATGAGTTATTATCTATATTTTAATCATGAGTTTCATACCTTAAGGATATAGTGCATTTACTAACTGAAGATAAAGGTTCTGCCATTAGAACTAGACATCAAGAATTTGTCAAAACTATGATACTAACATCAGTTAGCATTCTGAATAGTGGGACAGTTGCAGGCAAAATATTTACAGATCTTATATCTTACAAACATAAAGATAATATTCAAGTTCTTTCTGTAGTGAATGTTACTCAAGGGTTATTATTTTCATTAAATAATACATTAATTTTAATTTATAAGTAAATACAAACATTTTTTTTTTTTTAGAATTAATGCGGTCTTAAAGAATTGGAATGATTATTTAATTGAGTATCCACTGTTAGTTTCCTATATTGCTGACATAATTAGTGAGTAATATAAATATAAATTTAAAAATGTATATTTAAAGTTAAATCAGGTAATTTAAAATAAATATTTAATTTTGTAGCTCAATTGTTAATATCAAAGACAGCTTGTTTTGAGATAAATAATTTATACGATTGTTGCATATCTTTATGTCATGAATATTCCATGGTATTGTTTACTGAAATATTGAAAAAATGTTTGTTTATATTGAACAAAAGTTCATAAGAAACACTAAATATAAAAGAAGTAAGTTATTTGTATAGCTGTTATATTATCCATGTTATGACACATATTAACAGCATATTATATTCTCTCAAGGTCTATATAAACTTGGCAACTATAACACAAAATCTTGTTTAATTCCTGGACCATTCCAGGAAGGTCTAAGACGGTCTGTACGCTTTTAAATATCAGAGTTCACACTATCTCCATGACCATCTACCAGAATCCAACTGGGATTATAGAAATCAATATGTAAATATTTATTATAAATGTCTACACAATATCCATGTACATTTCACTTTATGACTTCAACTATAACATGTTTATAAGTTATCAAGAAATATTTATTTAACTATACATTAAGAAAATAAATAAAAAAAAAATAACTGTTAAATACAATTGTCTGAGTTATTGTCAATCAATTTTAATTGATTTCCAAAGCAAATAATTTGATGCGGCCCATGGGATCTAAATAATCTATTCCTACAACTCCTGATGGTTAAATACATACCAAGTTATTTTATTATAGTTTCTAATAATTAATTTTATGCTTTTAATAGGAAATGTTTTATTTATTTTACATTGTTTTTCAATTAGGTATGGTATTAAACTAGTTAGTGGATTTATTAATGTGACTTATTAATCAAGGATTTATTTGGATTATGGATAACCATGAATCTAAAACACTAGCTATTGTAAAAATGATTAATGATTTAAACATTGGAATTTACATGATTTTTTATTAATCTTTTGTATATTTTTTTAAAAACTTGATTATATAACTAATACGTATATAATATATACTAACGAATACTAAACCTTTTTGGAATTTTGTTGAATCTTTAAAAAAAAATACTGATTGTAATGTGTATGATATTGTAAAATATGATAATATAACTTCAACAAACATGCCAGAAAAAGCTTAACATTTTGTAGATTTTTTTCAAGGTTTTTTGAATCTGATTTGACTAATTCATCAGAGCTTAACTAACTTTCAGACATTTCTTCTAATACCTAGTATCTTAAGTTCCTGGTTAATAAATAAAATGAAATTTATGAGTATTTAAATCTATTGAATACCCACTCGGTTACAGGTCCAGAGGTGTATCCTCAATTTTTTTTTTGGTCAAACGTATATCCTTTAATTTTAAAATTTAATGTTCAATAAATCTTTATGTATTGGTTACTTTTCTGACTATGGAAAATGTGACTCCCATACAATAAACACGGTGACAAACATTGTCCCGACTATAGAGCAATCACTAAAATGTCAATTATCCCCAAAATAATTGAAGCGATAATCACAAAAAAGTTATCTTTTATTATCTCTACGTATGCAGAATAGGTAGCATATTGCGATTCTTGTATATTTCCCACTTACGTATTCCCCGTTCAATAATCGACTGCACGTCTGCACCACTACCATCCATTTGCCAGTTGTCCAAAATAGATAGTATCGTAGTTCGTGATCTAAACCAAAGAACATTTAAACACCAGTTGGTAGATTAAAAACCATATGTTTTGAAGTTTAAAACTGATTACAGTAGTTTCTCTAAAGCCGTGATCTAAACAGTATTTTGGGCGGAGTCCTTTGGCGATATTATATTTTTATTTTTAATGTGAATCGATCGTGTTCAAGTTATACGTCAATTTTCTGTTAAAACCCGTTCAAATTAATAAATAACGAAAATGAGGTTGAGAGCAATATTAGGTTACACCTTCTTCGGAACGACATGCACGGTATTCTGGTCCGTTGTTTTGTTCTACCTTTTGGCCGGCAAAGGTGAACAAATCAGTATCGGTTGGTTTTTAGCTAACACGTCGCCCTACATGTGGGCCGTGTTAGGTATATCGCTTGCAGTTGCACTGTCCGTTGTCGGAGCCGCTTTGGGAATACATACAACTGGCGTGAGCATTGTCGGCGGTGGTGTGAAAGCGCCTCGTATCAAGACCAAGAACCTCATCTCCGTCATTTTCTGTGAAGCAGTGGCTATTTATGGACTCATCACCGCAATCGTTATGTCCGGTCAATTGGAATCGTTCACGGACAACGTGGATACCCTTAAAAGTATTCGAGAGCAAAATTGGATGGCTGGTTATTTAATTTTTGCTGCCGGCATCAGTGTAGGTTTGGTGAACTTATTTTGCGGTATCGCTGTTGGAGTAGTTGGTTCTGGTGCAGCATTAGCAGATGCTGCCAATTCTTCTCTCTTTGTCAAGATTTTGATAGTAGAAATTTTTGGAAGTGCGATTGGTCTTTTTGGTCTAATTGTTGGCATTTACATAACTTCCAAAGTGAAAATGGGTGATAAGTAAATCAAATTTAAAATGTTTCATGTGTATATTTGTTTTTTTTTTTTTTTCATAGTTTTATTTTATTTGAAATTCCTTTATACTGTATAATAGGTTGAATGATTAGTAAATCTACCAAGTAGTGAAAGTATGATTATTAATTATGATCGATAAGTAAATAAATTATTTCATTTGTTTTATAATGAATTGTATTTTTTTTAAATCACAAAACCATGTATACATTAAATTTCGAATAGAATACTACATTATATTAATTACATATGTTTACTTAAAAATTGTATTTGTTAATATTGTTTGTGGTGTATAATTTGATATAATGTATTCAATTCTGTTCATAATTCAAGAACTCCAGATCAATTTTTTTTGTTTATTGTAAACAATTGTTCTTGGAAGTTCTATTAACTTTATAAATAGGTTCCAAAAAAAACTTTAAACTAGAACAACTTAATCAACTTATATTGCATGTATTATAATACTAAAAACATGTACTTCATCATTCCACGTATTTATAAATAAATATTTGTTAACTTAAATGTTAATTTGACTGTATTAATTCTTTATTGCTTATTTCGGTTTTGTATTATGATAGCTAAGTATTGTAAGACGAAATTCAGATAAATATTTGTACGTAATATATTTTTATTAATGCTGGTAAATTGTATAATTCATTGTTTAATTTATCAGTTTTAATAAAATATTTTAAATTTATAAATATATGCTTTATTAATCTTAAAATCAATAAATAACAATTTATTATAAATTAATTTCTAATGAGAATATGATAATCGTTAATTTAACAATATTTTAATATAGTATATACCAGTTGAAGAAATCAAGACAGTTTCAGTACTTTTATTTTGGCTGTGAAACAAAAAATTTAATTCTTAATGTTTTTTTTTTTTGTATATATTCATAAATTTATTACCATTACCAATAAACTTGCTCTTATCAAAATATTTTTCGGAACACTGAGGAGGATATTTTTTAATTTTCATTAATAAACGGGAAAATTTGGGAATTTTTTATATAATTTTCGTTGATTTCTTGATTACCTTGGAAATAAGGGAAAAAATATAGTTATATTAATAACAATTACTAATAATACTTAGAATCATTTTTCATTACCAATGGTTTATTGGTGTCCACAGATATATGTTTTATTACTTTTTATATCTTCACGGCCTAAAATAATGGCACACCCAATAGCACTTTTAAAATATTTATTATTGCATTAGAATTTGAGGATAGTTAAGGCTAATGTTTTTATTATGTTTCGACTTAATAGGAATGCTTGAAAATTCATAGTGAGGTTCATTATAAGATGTACTTAGTGGTAAAAAAAAAATTGAGCATAATGTAGTTTTTTTGTAATTAATTTAAGATCAAATTTTAGTGAAAATCATAAATATTACAGCATTTCAAAACATGTACAATTGAACTTTGCTCAGAATCGTATTTCATTTGTAATGGTTTATTATTGTTTACAGATATAAATTAAATAACTATGTAGCCTACCTTCCTAACTTTCCAGTTACAACAGTATTAATTATTTTTTTAAAAAAAAATATCCATAATTTTGATCATACAAAATATATTTATAATAATATTGAAAAATAATACATTTGTCATAAAATAAAAAAAACATTAAATTATTTATGCCCTATTTCATTAATTGATCTGGTAGTTTTATCAAATACATGTCTACCTGTAGGAAATGGGTCTTTTTTACTCAATACGACTTTCTTATGGGCATGCGATAAATATCCACGAAGTGTTCCTCTATAAATCATGTTCACCAATAAAGATTGTGCGTTATCAAAACTTGTTTCAGGATCATCAAACTTTTTTAATAAAGCCGCAATAGTTTCAACAGGTATAATGTGATTGTTGGCAATTAAAAAGCTGGAAAATTAATAAAAATAATTCTAATTGATCTAATTAAAATACAATATAGGTTTTAGGAATTTTTATATTATTTTTTTTTAATTATTATAATTCAAATTATTTCTTATTGAATTTTCAAGATATCTAAGATACCTAATTCATTAAAGAAAAATAAAAATTCTAGAATAACTAGTTTTTTGAAAATCTATATCTACTCATATGAATTAATATGTTTTCTTTAAAAAAGAATACATTTTGGCGAACATGTTATAAGTAACTTATTATAAGCATCTAAAATGGTTCATGTAAGTAATTTTTTTTATAAAAACAATTTTTTAAGGTACTTATATAAAAATCATTCACTACCAAAATTTGTATTAATTTATAAGTAAATAATATCAACAAGAACAACTTTTTGATAGTGTTCAAAATACTTACAATTTCTTAAAAAGATTTCTATAAACAATATTTATTAATTTTTGCAACACTAAATATATTCCACACTTCATATAACACACTTCGTGTTTATCAATACATTCTCTAAATAGTTTCACATTCCCTGTTTTTAAAGAGGTAGTCAGATCCATAAATACATCCAAATCATACTTTTTAAGAAGATTTAAAGATGGCATTATCCCCTAAAAAAAAATATTATAATTTTCTTTTCATATTTTACAATGAATGAATATTTACTTACTTGTAGCATGTTTAAAGGTATAAGTTTCTGTAAGATCAATTTTTTATTTTTAATAGACTTTCTATAACATCTTTCAAAAGCTATTATCAAATTTTCTCTAGCTGTAATAACCACAAATAATTCAATTAGGTACCGTAAAACTTACTTGGGTTACTTGGAGTATTTTTAAATTTAATTTTAAAATTATGGAAAAGCAAATAAAATTGAGCAGTTTTATTAGGTTACCAAAAATTTATTTCTCGGTTAATTTATAAGAAAATAACAAAATTAACTTAATTAAAAACAGGTTTTTGCTCCAAGTATATTGGTTTGACGGCAGGTATTATAAATAAATAATGTGTATGCTAAATATTATTCAGATACTACATGCACAATAGGCACTATTTGTAAACACAAGGCAATGATTAGGTTGAAATGTGATACAATTATGTGAAAGTTGTTCGATTTTATGTAATAGATAGAATAATATAATGAATATTTATGTTAAAAATAAATAGGATCCTGCATAGATATTTTGTTAAGAACAATTCTGATGGGATTTATAATGATACTGATTAAATAAAAATAAAATTAGAATTAGCCTATGAATGCAAAATTCTGTGAAGTACATATTTTATAACTAGTAATGAGCGGAACCGACTAGTTTTAACTATTAATTGTCAATCGATAGTTTTCATTCAATAGTAGCACAGACTAGATTTTACTATTGATAGTTTAAAAAACAACAGAGTGTTTTTGACTCGATAGTATAAAACCAACAAGAGTATTTTTTGAACTAAATATATATTATCAATAAAATGAACTACTCAATAGTCCAACAGTTTTTTATCGGTAGTATTGGCACCGACTGGTTTACAAAACAACTTAGTGTTTTTGACTATCAATAGATTAAAAACAACCAAGTACTTTATCAACTAAATATATAGTGTCAATAGTCAATAGCTTTCACTTGGTAGTGCCCATCACAATTTATAACATAAGCTTTGAATAGATGCAGTTTGATAAGAAAAAAAAATCAAGCATAAATTACCAAATTTAATAATAAATATTGGATGGTTTTTTGATGAAAACGATATCTGATATAACTTACCATCATTAAATTTGCCTTCAAAGATCTCTTTGCAACCAGTATAATAGTAAAAGGTGACCACATGAGCAACTGGAAATATATTCTTGTCTGGGCACATTAAAATAGTTTTTGTCAAACCCGTAGTCAAATGAAATTTCTTAATTTTATGATACACTTTCAACATTTGGTTAACAATAAACATTATTGTCCAACGTTTGGAGTGGCGTGCTGGAGCTCGTCTAACATAGATAAAATAAAAATAATTTGAATTTTTAACAGTCATGGTTAATAATCAGTAAAAATATAACTTACGTGTCACCAGAACAAATACGGAAATACATCATCATTGAATCAATATATTTCTTTTGAAAATCATTATATTTTTCCAATTTCTGTTTCTTAGAAGAAGAGTCTAATGTATCAAATGCATTTAAAAGGTATCTGAGATCTACACAAACCTAACAGAAAAAACATTTTACTTTAAAACTATCTATTTTTAAAAATAAAAATATACTCACTGTATTAGCGAGTGGCACCATCCAGTTTTCACTATCAGATGACTGAAGATACTTCACAATGTTTTGAAAAATTGCCAATTGTCCTTTGAAAGCTTCGTCATATTTTTTTTCGCTAACTGCTTTGAGAACACTTAAATAATTTAAAATAATATTAATATGACATATTTTTAGTTACATTAAATGCGACTCAGTGGGTTTCAAAAACTGAAGAAGCATCATTAAAAACCTACCCACCTAATAAATTCACAAGAGCCACTGCATTTTTCAATGTTTACAGGCCTTTTTTACTTTTCATAAATATTTTAGTTTACTACCTATAGTACATACATTCCTATACAACTATAAGCAGTTACTCCTTATAGTCTTATAACAAGCCTGACACTAAGGGATGTATAAAAAATATTTCCTGAAGAAATTTAATAACATAAACATTTTTTATATATATATAAAGTTAACATTGATAAATTTATGATAGACTTAAAAAATTATAAATATAGCGTTTACGTATATTTCTAAATTATCTTTTGTTTTACATTATGCAAACTAGTTGACATTTGTTTATTAAATGAGTATGAAATAATGATGAAAACTTTTAACACAATTTTTGTCTTTGATTAATTCAATAAAAATGGGTTTTATACAAATATTAATTACTTAACTATTATATCTGTAATTAAGTATTTTATAATAATTTATTTACCATTATATATTAAAATTTATAACCAATATTAGTTAAGTTTAAAACTGTGTGATTTAAGATTTGAAAACTATGCATCATTCTTCAACATCGAAAATACCACTGACCTAACTTACAAGACTACTTTTTAACCTAATATTGCTATAAGGAAGATAGTGTTCAAAGTAAAATCCTAAACCTCGCCTTACTTAATCTTCAGTCACCGCCATTTGGTCGCTTCATGAACTCATGTCAAATTTTTAATTGAAAATAATCCCTAATATATTATGCAAAATTATGTCAGCTAGGTAACAAGTGTTGAATTAAGGTATACTTAAGGGGACAAATACTTCTTCCTGAAATTTTATTTATCTCCCCTTGACAAATAAATCTGTCAACAAAATGACAAATAAAAAGAAGTGAGCTCTTCCCAGAGAAATTTTCTGTATTCAATACTGTAGGTAACAGGAAAATAAATAATGTAGTTTATACGAGAGTAATGTTTCCTAAAATTATGTATTATGTACAATAATAACATTTAGTTTTTAAATAACTTTAACTTTTAAAATAATAGGTAGGTAATTTCTGAAAAATACTGATTGTATCATTTTGAGTATTAAAAATTTAGTTAAAAACCAATTTTATATTTCTAAATATAACTTCTAATAATTCTAAAAAGAAGTTCAATTTTTCATATATATTTTAATTCAACGCCTTAAAATTGCTTTTACGCCAATAATTACTTTAAATGTGCAACTATTTCAACTTCAAAATCAAGCTCATTATCTTCAGCAATTTTTTGAAGATCATCAATAGTATTTTTCTGGCTCCAATCTTTTGATGAATTATCTCTCAATGAAAAGAAATTCTGTAAAAATTAAAGTATAGTAGATATATTTTATTGTTGATCATTATAATATTAAAGGGTAAAAAGTATAAAAGTACAATTACCGCCAATGCAAGGCCATTCTCTTCATTGTAAAATGTTGTGGTCTAAAATATCATAATAACATAATTCAAAATAAATAAGACATAACGGAAAGGAAGTTTAAAATATTATAATTAAAAAGTTGACTTACCGCTAATACATAGTCTTCTGTATACATATTTGAAGAAACTTACTCCCAAAGAATAAAATGCTTATAATCTTACAAACACGAAACTTACTTAAGTACTTAAGAACCTACAACTCGAGTAGGTAAATACAAATTATTGTATCGAATAAAATAGTTTAATTCAAAAAAATTACATAATTATTAATTAATAAACCGCAAATTTTTGTTATAGTTTATAATCACGAATTAAGATACACAGACACCAAACGAACGTGTGATAAGTGAAGCTCGAACCTTCTCACTTTTGGCAAGGCCACTAACACCATCTAGTGTACTCTTTCAAACTATGTAAATACAAATTATCGAATAGATATGCAATTTATTACATACCCTACTACTCCAATCTAAACTTTAAACTGGTTTTAATTAATTTTTACACCAATTTTGTCTTAAAGCGTTAGCTGTCATGTCAAATTTTAGATTATAATATACTAGTATATGATCTAAGTGCCAAACAGTGAGAAACGGGCGACCTCAGAAAAATATTGATAAGACCTTTCCGTTTGGTTACGCATAGTGTAATTACTCCACGGCCTTACTATTTACTAATGAGTAATTACTCCATTGACTACTAGTAATAGTATTAGTACTATTGATCATTAGTCTATTAGTATAAAGTTAATGAATTACTCTTATGGATATCCTACTATTTTGTATACCTAATCGTGATTAGTGAATATAATAATGTTAGGATGTTATCATTCATTACAAATTGACTGAAATTCTAACCACGGTTATAGATAGTATTGTTACAGAACGAGTAAAGTGATTAAGTGTCCTGTAAAAAAATATGTTGCAAAAATGTCTCTTTATGCTAGTGCCTTCTAGTAGATTACTATAATATACTAATAATATTGGCGTAGCTACCGCAACTGGGACTCGGGCGTAAACAAGAATACTACAGGCAATTGCCTTGGGGTGTATAATTTTTTTTGTGGGCTTACATGTGTGATAGAGGCGTTTATGATTGTTAAGTTTTTTGCACACAGATTATATTTAAAATTAAATCAATATACGCGTGCAAATGAAGCAGGCTTAATAGCTAGTCGTGAACGCCAATTTAATTGACTGCGAGTCAAGTGATACATTACAGTGTCGGATAAAGCCCATAATATTATAACCATACCAATCATAGTTAGTCCAACTTATAGTTCATAAGTAAAATATTTATCGTAGGTAGGTAACAGTTACTGCCTACAAAAACTAGGTGCCTATCTATTACAGGTAATCCATGCACCATCTATGGTGCAAGTGTAAATTTACTTAATTTAAAATTAAAACAAAATTTTCGATGAAATAAAGTATATTATTTTATGTTCCATATAAAATATTAGGGCATATTTAGTGCGGGTTTTTATGTTTCACATACTCGCAGTTTGCCAAAGTCTTACTCCGAGTGCAGTGTTAATTGCACGAGTTCTACGAAACAGTGCGCTTTATCTTTTATAGAAAATGGTATTTATTTTGAATGTTTTGTAATATAATTTTAAAATTCGAATAATTTATACAGGAAAAAAAAATCCGAATAAATGGAAAAATAATTTAGTGTTAATTGTGTAATTTATAAAGTCCAGTCATCAGTTATAGGTTATAGGTTTTATAGTTCTGAAAGATGTTGAAGTTTTTTTTTTGCATACAATCGATCTTTATAATTGTGCGAAAAAATAGCTGTAGACCTCAAAAGGCACACTACATCTCCAATTTTTTTTTTTTATAATTGTATAGATCTTTATCTATAATAGCAATGATAAACCATTGCTAAGGAAAAAACGATTCTGAGTGGTGTTCAGTTGATGATGATGCTTTGTCAACAATAGATATGTCATATTATGGTAAAATAATTTAGTAGACATTATTTTTTTTAGATTCTGAGTGGAGTGAGGAATGTATTGGTTTTATTATTTTTTTTATGTGAATAGTTTTTTTACCAGTAAGTCTACTCCGATTATCAAGTATAGCACGTTTTCTGAAGGAAAATGTTCTTTAGGTAGTACTTTAAAGTGGTTATTTTTTTAAAATTCTCATTAATATTCAAGATAATGAGAAAAACTCGGTTATTTAGGTTAAAACAGATTCAAAAACGGTTGTCATTGGAAACCGTTTTTATTTATTTTTTGTTTTTATTATTTAAATATTTTTTAAACAATCATCGTTATCATGGAAACGCATATTGTTGTTATCATTTTACCATAATATATATATTGTTGACAAAGCAACACTAACTTTATTATTAATGGTAAGTAATGGTATATCGTTCTAATATATTTTGTAAATTTTCCCGTTTTCCTCCTTTTTTTTTTTTGGTTTTTTACATTTGATGAGAAAACTCCTGAGAAAATCGAAAAATTACCTCTCTAAAGTACCACTCCAAGGAAAATTTATTTTCGGAAAAGAGTCTATATCACATACATAGGAGTAAGCTATGTAAATTTTTTTTATTATTTTAAACAATTTTAATATAATTTTATTATTTTAAAAACAATACATTCTTCGTTACACTCAGAATCTAAAATGTATGTTTAAATCCTAATAAGCTTATTAAACTAATAAGCCAAAAAAAAAAGATTTTTAAATATATGATTCAACTACTAATATGGTTTTTGTGGGCTCCTATTTTTCGTGGGCCCCGGAGACATGTCTCCCTTCTGTCCTTTATCTATAAGCATAAATAGACGTTATTTTATAATTAACTAAGATTACAATAATAGTATTATAAAATTGTACAATTTAACTTTACATAATATTATCAAGTATAGGTAAAGTCGCGATTTGTTTGCTGAACGAGCAACACGTATGTTCTCGTTTTCGAGTGCCATTATTCCCGTTGTTTTTTCTTTCAGTAATTTAATAACATCAAAATGCTTACCACGCTTGTCGGAATGCTTACCGGAAATCGGTAAGTGTCTACATAATAATATTAAGTAGGCCATACGCTCATGCAACGGCGTACCGGTGTTTCCCATCGTCGCGTGACGCGCACAGCCATGCACGGACCTATGCAACTAGACCTACCGACCTGCATAATGCAAAATATTTTAATCGAATTAAAACACGCCAACAAACAACTCCACTGTCAAGTAGCAGAACTACAAGAAAGTCAAAAATTACTAAAAATAAAAAATAGTTAATTGGTACTGGCAACTAAATCGTCATAATTAATTACAAAAATAGATAGCAACTTAGAAAAAACGACCCCTATTTCTAATATATCAGTTTCAAAAGATGTTAACGTAACTTAAAAAGTTAAACAAAATAGTAACAAAAACCCAACTAATGATAATACTCAAAAAATATATATACCCCCACTAATAACTATCAAAAGTGTTAAATAATTTGATAAATTAAAACAATTATTAACGAACCGGTAAAGAACCGGTAGGAAACGAACAACAATTCAAAGTCCTATCAAATTACGAGATGAGAATCTTAACAACAAGCGAAAGTAAATTCAGAAGTACAATAAAAATATTAGAAGAAAATAAAGTTGAATACCATCGGTACCAATTAAAAATCGAAAAACCATTTCGAGTAGTATTACGAGGTATAAATCATGATTCCGATATGGGAATAATTACCAATGAACTGTATGACCAAGGCCACGAACTAAGCAAAATAACTAATATACAGATCAAGAAAAAATCTGATCTTAAAAATAAAAACAGCAAATGGACATACATAAGGCTACCATCATTCTTTGTAGATTTAAAACCATGGGAGAATAATAAAGACATTTAAAACATAAAACTATGTCATCAGATAATAAAAATAGAACCACCACGTAAAAAAAAAAGAAGTACCGCAGTGTAAGAACTGCCAAGCTCTCGGACACACACAAAATTACTGTCACGAATAGGCTGTACGCGTGAAATATAGTGAAGGACACTGAACCGAAGATTGTCCAAAATCTAAAAAGACAAAAGCAAAATGTGCAAACTGTGGTGAAAATCATACAGCCAACTGGAAAGGTTGCTCTGCTTACAAGAAAACAATAGAAAGAGTACACCCAAAACAAGTCTCTGCCATGCAAAGAATACAGCAGAAACCTGTCACAGCAAATGTTTCTTACGTGCAAATAGCTAGCACTTCAAAAGTCGATCCAAAAACATCAAAACCAAAGGGAAACGAAGAATTGATTACTCTTAATGATATTCTAGTCGAGTTAACCAACGTAACGCAGACACTAGCAAATATCACAGCAATAATGGATAAACTGGAAATAAACCAGACAAAGTCCAAGAATACCTCGCAGAAAATAAAAAAATGAACAGTACACTGCAGATCATTTCATGGAACGCCATTGGATTAGTAGACAAGATCTTGATTACAGGAATTCAACTACTAAACAACTCTCTAAACATTAGGCATCTCAAACGTCGAAGACCATATGATTTAGTATAAGACTCTTAGACTAAGATCGGGGCCACTCTACTGGGAGTGAGATTCCACACATATTTATTTTTTTTGTGTACAAAGTACACAAGTACTTATGTACACCTTTGATAATGTATTGTTAAAGATTTATTTTGATCGTTACAATAAAAGCTTTCGGGTGGTTTAAAAAAAAAAGAAGTATAGGTAAAAAAAATATACCGTAAATCTATTCACTATAGGTATGTATTATTTTAAAATAAAACAGCAAAAACTAAATAACTGTAACTATATATATACTATATATTTACTATACATAGTAAATCACCGGACTCAGCAGAGCTGACATCCGTCATTAAATGATATATTATTGTAGTTATGTTTTTTGTGTTTACTGAAGTAATCGTTAATATTCTGAAAGAAATACAAGTGTTTAGTCAAACATAAAATATATATTTTTAATATTTTTTTTTTAAGAACAGTGATTTTTATATTTTTATTAATGCTAAATGATTTTTGTTTTATTATGAAGTATAATGTTTTTAGATTCTGAATGTAGCAACGAAACTGATAGTTTTACTAAGACGTGTTTTTCTCTTTGACTTCATAAAAACGATTTAAAAAATGTTAGCGTGACGTCACGCCAGTACCCACATTTTGAAATATTTAACCTTTCGGCTTGGTTCAACAATTGTTGGTATGGTTGGTACGTTGACATAGTTTTTTGGTCGAATTTCCAATGTGCGGGTGCCACTGTACAAAGATTTTTTTCAATTATTAATATCAAATTTAGAGTTTTTCTTTTAGCATAGTTCCTACGTATAGGTATAGGTGCTATTTAGAGCCTTGGATGTTACTTTATGGGCCTGAGGGAGTTAATAGTAAATAATAGAATTTTATTATGATGAGTATTCGCCATTTGGAACGAAAGGACATTGTCCCTAGGAGACTAATAAAACCCATCACTCGCTGATCAGTTTACCGAGATCCACTAGAGATCGATTTTTTTATTGTTATGATTTATCATTGGTTTAAGTGTATAAACTAAATTATCCTTCCTATATATCCTATTTTTATACATTCCAAATTTTCCACCAACAGTGGCACCATAGGCACCCTAACGCGAAATATGTTCAGTTTTGTGATTTGTATTAACGTTTAATGGTCTAATGTTTTGTTATAATATACCTAAATAGGTATATTATAATAATTTCTTTGGAAATAATCAATATAAAATTTAAAATAGATGAATTTAAAAGTGAAAACAATGTAAAGACAACCATACAATTACACATACATAATGACATTAATGAAGTTTGAATTTTTTTGAAAAATTCTATAAACATTTTTTTTTTTAACCAGTATTATATTATATGGCTGTCAGGTAATTTTTGAAATAAAAATAATTTTATTGATCAAAGTTGCTTGAAAAAAAAAAAAATGAATTCATTCGAATCTATTGTTAAAAATAAGTATTTCCATTAGAAAAAAGTAATTTTTAACACGTATGCGAAAGGGTTAGAATCTTAAATGCGTGTTTATCAACACTATCCCTATCACTTTCCGAAAACGAAATTTAAATCCAATGTCATCCGGTCGAAATATTTAATGTTACCCGGAAAACTTGAACACATTGTACATAATATTATATTGTATTATAATATATGTTCATTGATAAAATGTATAAAATACAAAATAATAATAATAAAAATGTGAACAATATTGTTGAAATAACATGTAAAAAAAATCAGCCTCATCCCCTCTACCGGTGTTAAAATCATTTGACCGCTACTGATCTTATGACGGTACCTAAATACCGGGCTATACACGATAATAATAATATTATTATTATTTACATAAATATGATTCTAGATGGGGTAAGATATCATATTATTATTAGCGTTGACGTCGGTGGGAGGTCGACGGCTACAAATCGAAAGCCGGCTGAAATAAGGAACACGCGGTCCCGACGGCGACGGCGTTTCTGGTTTCTGTAGTACGAATCGTGTGCCCGCCGACGACGTTTGCAGTTTATTGTGCGCGCGTGTCCGTGAAACACGGTCGATATAACAGATATTACAAGTACCAATTATTGTTCGACCAAAAAAAAAGTTAAATTTGTATTGATTAAAATTTTACTTTTTTTTAAAAAAAAATTTGTTCGTTACCATATCAATAAAAAATATTTATATTTGAGCCGGTGTATACAGTGTGCGCGATCCGTTCCCTCAGATGGAAGGCTGACGGTTTTATGCAGTGATTGCGCCCCACGTATTATTCCATAATATATTACACGATTGGAATTAATTCCCGGAGATAATGGCCAACCATCGCGGAAGAAATGAAATATTATCCGGTAATTTTTTACCAGTTTTATATAAAACAAAATAAATCGCGAAATTGCACGCTAAATTTTACGACGATGATTTTGATGTATTAGTAAAATTTTAATGTTGTCTCTCACCACAAAAAAAAAAAAAAAAAAAAAAAAAAAAAATAAAAAAAAATATACTAATAAATTAATAAAACATAAATATTGACGCCTAATGACGGAAACATGTTTTATTGAATATTTGTTTGGTTAACGTTTGAAGTTTACATTTTAATATTATAATTTACTCCTCGAATTCGCGTTTTCTGTCGTCAATGTTGCATATTGATGATCATATCCGATTATACGTGAAGTATTGCCAAGTTGTTAAGACAATCATTTCATATTTCAAAAAAAAAATATCTTGATTTTACATAAATTTATTGTATTTATTGTTTATTAATTGTACCCTGCTCAACGTCCCTAAATAGTCTCTGGATTTGGCGATCGCGTAGGAGCACCTGCCTTTAAGCCGGTATTTTAATAAGATTACGAGTATATAGCGTAGCGTTTAATATTATAAATGTATAATCAAGTCAGAAAATATATTAGTAAGTACTTTTTAATTATTTAGAATATTATAACACAAAAATGTGTCGAACTGACCAAAATAATAATATAATATCAAAACTGTTATGGGGGGGAGGGAGGAGACGAAGCTGATTTTTCAGCAATTTATTATTAAGATTATTATTTTTTTTTATAAATATATAGGTAGGTACTCAAAAGATATGATGTATATTATTATTACACACATTAAAGAGGAAAAGATCATAGGGAGATGTGTCCTCCTCCGTTTGATTGTCTCTAATTTCTTATTCAGTGTTTATTAATCGATATTAAATAAAACATTTATTATTATTATAAGCACCTATGTCGAATTCGTTTTTAAAATCAAATGCACATCCAATAAATATGGTTATGGAAGGAGGAAGTTATGTTTCTATACTCGTATCAACTGAATTTAATAATTGTATGAATTTATCAGCCTGTGAATAATAATTGACATATATTATTATATATAGTTATTACTCATCAGTTATTATTTTATGTAGCTAAAGATAAGTAATAAATTTAAAATAATTCATTATATTAAATGTTAATTCATTAAAAAATAATGAATGCTATTATATTTTAAACTTAAAAGGAAAATAGGCGCAGATAAACTTCCATACGGCAATAGTTTTTTCTATTTATTTTATTATTTATCATTACTGATTATTTTTATAAATATTATCCTTTTAGTAACACCATCACCAAAAATTTATTTTGTTATAATTATTGTTTATAATATTATTGATATTTTTTTAGATGTATATGATTGATATAATTATTAGATATAGTGACATACCCGGACTTATTTAATGGGGAGGGGGAAACATCGACTTAACTTAATCATAAATGGATCTGGATGCCAAATAATTTTTGATCTTTTTATTATAATTAGGGTATATACAAATTTGAAATTACAAATTTAAATGTTTTTTATTAAATTTTAACTAGTCTATAAGTTTATGAGTTCGTAGCACCTACACTATACAATTTTCAAAAATTATCCACCCCGTCTCAATATCAAATCCAAATTAAACCACTGGGGAGCTAAACAATTAAACATAATAAATACGAATTTTATATACGGATATACCTATAGTATAATAATGCAAGCAAAATATGTCTAAATCTATTTTATAGTTTTTCTTTAGGTTGTTTTGCAATGCAGGTGCATATACCTACTATGTAGTACTTAGATGATGTTTTGTATTTAGTTTAGTTAGTACAGGTACAACTTTTAAAAGGTTTTTATTTCATTATTAATAAGTTTTTAATGCTGAATATAGTTTATTTATTATCTGTTTATATTTTAATACGGCCAATGTGGGAAGAGGTCGAAGCCTCTTAGCCCCCCTGGATTTGACGTGGGTTTTATATTCTATAGGTAAGTATCTATTTGTGAAATTCTATATCAAAATTATTTATTTTTGATGGACCTCCCACCTTGATGGAACCCACACCATAATACATACTATTACTCTAAATAAAATAATAACGTGATTCGCAATCACCTGCAGCTAGAATTAAAGACCTATTATATTTCGTTTCCTTTGCAAACAATAATGATAATTATAAGTTTCAGTATACTCTTAACAAATCACGCATTAATTATTATTATCACTTTCTGTTTTACCTACTTAACATTCATTAGGAAACTATTATTAAAATTGTCTACGTCCCAGGTAGGTAGGTAGTACACAGTTGGGTCGTAATTAAAACTAACGCGTTGATTATTTTATATATACTTAAAAATATGGGTAAAATGACCAGTGGGATATAAAGCTCGAGCAAATAAAAATCAATAGAGGCGTGTGATTAAAAATTGTATAAATTCAAATACCAAACTATTAGCCGACTTCCAAAAATGTTTTACCTACTATTTTATAATTTGATAAATGAAAATGAATAATACATTTTACGCGGTAATAATATAACGATAATCATAATATAATAAAATACAATAAAAAAAAAAAAAAAAAAAAAAAAATTAAAGAAATGATTAATTTTGTCGACTTTAAAATTAAATATTTACGTTGAATTTCCGACTAAGTAGTCTTAATTTTCTAGTTTAGAGCGAGGTTGTCACATCCCCTTGCACCCATGCGACAGCTGTGCTACATAATATTAATACGAGTATTCACCTTATTCAACCGGTATCGATAATAAAATAATATATACTTCACAAATATAAATTATATTTTTAAACGGAATTTATATAATTTTTAATATGAGATACCGTATTTAATCGTGAGTTTATGATATTTTTAGACGACTGTAGTCCAAAGTCAGATTAGGCATAATCATTAGTATTGCATGTCGTTATTTTGATGAAGAGAAGAAACCGTTGTCGTATAGCGATTATTTTTATTTAGTTGTACAATATCCATTGTGGTATAATAAAATATCTATATTTATTTGTTATAAAACTGGATTTGCAATTGCGAAAAAACGGTTTGAGAGAGATCCAAACCGTTTTCGTAGATAGATGGGGTTCACTTGCAAATGTTAGTAGTGTTCTATTTCTTAGAACTATATCTGTTTATAGCACATTTGTGCAAGTATGTACAACAGTGGTTTATATTAATATTATCATATTATGTACCTAGTATGTTAATAATAATGGAAAAGTTGGGATTTCATCATTGCATTATATTGTTGTAATTTATTAGTAAACGACATAACATTATCATTAAAATAACGTGCTTTTCATGTTTTATTTTTTTTCATAAAAGGAGAAACGGAAATATACGTTCTCGTTCCTCATAAATAGGAACTCTTTCCCGTTCCTCGTTACTATATTTGAAAAGGAACGCGTTCATCTCAACAATGAGTTTTCTGAAAATATTTGTGAGGTTTCCGTGAATATATCTCTCATACATGATTTAAGTTGCACTGAAAACGAAAGCGAATGAGACTTTTAACTGAGGTAGATAGAGTACCATCGTACTATTACCCTTGGAAACTAATTTCGGAGGTTAACTTAAGTTAATTCGCTATTCTTTTAAACGTTTCATAAAATGAGTTCATTATCTACGTAATTCGCAGGCAGCCATCCCAATAAAATTACCGAGGGTTATTAACGGATTTTTCTAGTATAATGCAATATAGATTCTTTACTTGGTAAAGGTCAAGTCCGTATACTGGGGGGGTTAGGGATTCACCTCCTCCCCCCCGAAATGTTTTAAGTAGGTATATATTTGTAATATAACAAAGACTAACTACAAGTTCATGATTTAAACATTTTTAACCTCTCCCCCCGAAAATTGATCCTGAATACAAGCTTGGTATAGGTTATCCTAACCTAACCTAACCTTATAGAACTTGAATAATAATAAAAAATTGTCTTTTAACTGATAATCGTCTGCTTATTACACGAACAGACACTCTGATTCATACATTGTTTTATAGCGAATATATTCTGGGAATGGTAGTTTGTAGCTAGGCACCTATAGCCTAATAATTATGAGTCAATGACAAACATTCGGGTAGTGCATAAAATTTAAGTGCGTATATTATTATTATCTATGTAGGAAAGAAAAAAAATTAAGATGCGTAGCACGTACAACACGAAACGACCTATAATGTCTTTCGAAAAACCGGCTTAACATTCTTTATAGGTATATATACTTACGCTTTGGGTCAGAAAGATGAACCATAAATTCACTGTTATTGTTGAAAAAAAATACGCGACAAACTTTGTAAGTTGTGTTTGTTGTACAATAATATTATATTATGTATAAATTATATTTGTGACGTATTTTAACACGTAAAAAAAGAAAATACTATTGTCTCCAGTGCGAATTTGACGTTGGGTTTTTAAAACCCCATCAGCCCTTGGGCTATTTTTAAAATTGTTACTTATACATTGTACATGTATTCAAGGTCGTAACTGGGGGAAGGGGTTATCTTGTGTTTAACTACGTAAAAAATACTAGCGTAGATATAGTAAACACATTTTAGATCTCCTTTAGACATATTTTTCGAACAACACTTTCGATTAGTAAAATTTTTAAAACAGTTTTTAAAAAAAACTGATAATCATGATACATACTTTGATACTATGATACTTTGGTTTAGCGTTAATTTCGCTGTACGAATTTATAAATTATTCTATACATCCTATATAATTTATTCCTCATATATTTTATCATATACTGACTTCCCATCACCTAATACAGTGGTGAGGTTCATAGTGCGATGTATAAGTCCGGTTTTTCTGTTTCACATTATGAAGATACCTGCAACCCGAACATAATCGATTCATTATAAATGATCGGAACCATACATAGGTCTGCGAATAATATAATTTTGAAGTTTTCAACGTAGAAATATTATGGTATTATTATTATGTGTTTCTATTAAATGAGCGATGTTAAAACCGTTTATTAAAAAAAAAAACACGCGATTTCACGAATTATCATAAAATAGTGTGAGACCGCGCTAATATAAGAAGCGCGTGCGATAGGCTGTACAGCTGTAGCAGTTTGTCGGAAAGTTAGTTGACTACTTTCACTAGGTATATAATAATATAATAATATTGAGAAGCCGCGCATTGTCGAATGAAGAAGACGTTCGGTTGGAGATTGTTCAAGTTTAAAATACGATATAATATTATTATATTATTAAATGTACACGCAGTTACTTTTGCCAACAACAACAATATAATGAATATAAATAATATATAATAAAATATTAATAACGCAATAGAAATTATTATTGTAAGTATACCGGCTAGTTTTTTCTTTTTAAATTTCTATAGGTGACTTTTTACGATATGGCATTAGAAAACTCAATGAAGCCGGTTGTGAGTAATAATATGCGCTAGATAGCTCTTTTGTACAAACAACTTAAACGGGGGTACTAGATTTTGAATGCGTTTAAGAACGCGTTTAATTTAATATTTATATATTTTCGATACACGAGTAATAATAATGATGATAATAATAAGAATACAGGACCTATGTTTAATACCTACATCTGATAACTACTAAACGTACAATTAACTAAACGACCGTGAGCGCGACAATATAGGTATAGTTATTTTAATTTTCTGTTACGAACCTTGGTCGTTATTGGTATTGCGGACTATTTAATAAACGCTATGGTATTATTATAGGTATATACTAGCCTGCGCCCTATTTACGCGAGAACATTATGGGTATTGGATATTTTTCTAGGGCACATGCGGATCAGGGACCCACCAACTGGATTTAATTATATTTTTTTTTAATTTGAAAAAAAAAGGAAAAAAGGTAATAAAATCTTTTGCTGTTGACTTTTTTATTTTGCTTATCGGCTCTTATGTCCCGGGGCATTCGATTTTCTAAATCATGCTCTGATACTAACTATACACTAGTTTGTAGACAAATTGACGAATGTTTACAGCAAACAAAAATGTAATTATTAATTAATTTCGTTATTCATATGCCGCATGGTATGTTATATTTAGGTTGCAGTTTTAGAAATTTATTTAAAAAAAAACTGATAATCGCGCAAAACAGTGTCGTATCGTGGCAGTCTTATTATACCTATAAAAAAAAAAAACCGGAATCGCTAATTGTCACTTAACATAGGTAGGTACCTATACACGGTGACGACTACGTCTACACATATTTTATTGCAGTGTACGTTCAAGTACAGAGCATATAGGTTAAATCGTCACGCAGAAATAATAAATCGATAGGCACAATAAAGAGGTTACTGGAATACTATATAGTTATCCGGACTTGAATCTAATATGTTCTTATTAACTATCATTATTAACTATTTATGTATATATTTTTTATTTTTATAAAATTTTATGGTTTTTTACTTTTATATTTATATATATTATATAATGTAATGTTTGTTCATAGTGTAACTTCCGCACGAGTTAAACGGCACGCGATAAAAAAGTGTATATAATTAATAACAATACATATAACATACGTCAAACATAGGTAAAGGTATTATCTTCTTGTTTTTCTTAGACGGCTTTCCGAGAGTTTTATATTCTGGTTTACCCCCTTGAACCATCGTTATATCCTTGGTCTTCTCCCAACTCGTGTGTTCAAATCATTGACAATTTGTTGAAACAATTTTATTCACATTCAACTAAATAAAAACTTTTAAAAAAAAACCTATAAACGAATCAAAGCAAAATATAAATCAACAAAAACCGTTATTCCATACAAAAACTTCAGACGTTTTTCCAACAACTATTTCTGGTTTTTCCGATTATTAAGAAAACTACATGGAAAATCAAAAAAAAAAAATGACCTTTAAAGTACCACCTCAGGAAAATTTTCTTTCCGAAAAAGTGCTATACTTGATGCTTTGGAGCAAGATTTCTAGTAGAATTTTTGGACACAGTATATATATACAATTTTTGTAAAACCAATACATTATTCGCTGCACTCAGTATTTAAAAAAAGGCTGGTACTGCTGACGGGTGTGCTACTATTTTAGGCAGGAAGTGGAATGAAAGGATATGTAGAGTACCTAATTTAATTTATATCTGTACGCAACGATAAACCATTGCTAACAATAAACGATCGTGATACGGTTTGACATGTTGCAAAGGTAACCCAGAAATCAACAGAAATTATACAAAATTAAAAAATAAAAAACTGTTAACAATATTATAAGCGTTTCCCCCAAACCCCATTGATTAAGAGAAAACTACCAGGAAAGTCAAAAAATGATTTCCACAGTACTCGAACTAGATCAAAATTATTGACACACGCAAGTCCCTTAAAAGTTTTTAATTGGAATAAGATTTCTGCTGGTAGAAAAGATGTTTACAAATACGAAAAAAAAAACGCACTCATAACGTTAACTGCATAATACACGCCGTATGCCCCGATATTTTATAATATAATATAAACGTGTATTACGACGACGCTATAGGTGGCCCGATTACCCTGAGGGGTAAAAGTTTTGTCGAAAAATCTCGTGGCGGCGGCGGCGGCAGCGGTCCAAATCAAACGCGGAAGGTCGCGAGCGTTTCATAAAAACTTATGCAACGCGAGCGCCCGAACAACACGCGCGTCAACGGCCGCTTTCTTCCTAATATTTCGCCGGACCGCGCGGTTTTCATTTTTTTTTTTTTAAATGTCACGAATCGAAATCCAATCGGGTTATATACGGACTTCTAGGTGTCTGCCTATTATATATAATACGTATACACACGAATACATAGGTACCGTCGATACGACAACGTTATTAAAGTCATACGCGTGTCTTGTTTTTTTAAACCATCCGCGAGTGTTCGTAGAGATCCGAGACTTTCACACACACACACGCACACACACACACACACACACGAAATAAAATATATCTTAGTCCGTCGTCGTTTTTATTATTATTATTCTTATTTTTATTAATTATTTTGTTTTTTCGTCTACTCGTTTCGACGTCCAGACATTCCCGAGGTGTATAAACCGTGTACGGGATCGAGCCGATTTTACTTTGTTATTACTATATTGTTACCTAGAATATTATTTCCTTTTATTATTGTTGTCCGTGTCCCGTGACGCGCTGACGAGGGGCCCGGTCGCCGACGACGAGTATTATAAATTATATTATAATCTGTTTCCGTCGCGTCTAACAAACGCGTCACCGGGTTTTTGATGCCGAGTTTGAGGCGTCCGTGATAATGTGTAGACTATAATATGAGACGCCGCCGTACTATACTGCAGCAACCCTTACAATAATATCGTTTGGCGCCAAACTCCGTTTCGGAACGTCGAAACGCGAAGCAAAAATAATAAATACCTATCCTTCCACTTATTATACATACGCATTTTTGATACTCAGTGTGACCGCCGGATTGGACAGTATCTCTGATATAATCATCTTATTAAATACGTATCTAGATACAATATTATGTACAGTTCTGAAAAGTATCGAGTATACTTTATTATACAATACTGAAATCGGTGCTTCTGGTATAGAGTATCTAAATACTAATAAATGTCTATGTATTATATGTATGGTCAATTTTTGATTTTCCAAGTGGTTTTCATAATAATTGAGAAAAACTGGGTAAAAACGTAAAATAGTGTAAAAATGTACAAAAATAATGTTTTTATCATTTTTGTTTTTTTGTTTTAATTAAGGTTAAAATGTTCGTAAAAACTTGATATTTGAACAGAAAATTTATATTTCCCTTTTCAAGACGTGGTAACATTTTCGAAACATTTTATTCATTTTTAAGCTATTTATAGATATTTTAATTTTGCAAGTTTTTCACGTAATTTTTATTCGGTAGGTAATTTGTGGATAAAATTGTTAGACCAAACAGAAATGCTTGGCAATTTAACAGGAGGTTTATTATAAGTTGTACATAGTGTTGAACAAGAAAAATTTGAATTTAATGTAGTATTTAAACGACCTTTTAAAATATATTTAAGTATGTCCGTCTTTTTTTTTATCTGTCTTGTTTATAGACTGTCATTCTCGATTATTATCTTAGCATTGTTTTGAAAAAAAAAAATATTTATCTTGACTAGAAGAGACATTTTGGAATATTTAAACAGTGAACTGTAAAGAAAATTAAGTAGATGTATGTCTACAAAAATCCTATATGACTCGATGCATTTAAAAAATATCTTATACTATAAAAAATAAGGTATGTGAAACAAGTAGGGAATCACGACGCAACAAAACGTATCAACATTTATTACATGTTCAATCTTTACTGCAATATTATCGCGTTAATCGAAATTTTGCAATAGTATAGTGTCTCAACCCTATACATATAAATCATATTACAGATGTACTATATGTCTATAATTGAGACACAGATAATGAAAATGAATCAATAAAAAATTGTCAGTTTTTCCAAATTATTAAGAAAACTACAACGCAATTAAAGATAGATTATTTTCTGAACGCACCAACTTGATCAAAATGGTTACAAGAAAGTTCCTATAACGTTTACGAATTTGGAGTCAAATTTTTGATAGCAAAGTCGTTTACTAGAATCTAAAACTAAATGGGGTTCACCATAATTTTCTGGTAATCCGAACCGTGACGGGTAAGCCGGATTCGTTTACCTTTTATTATATTTTAAAAGATGATTACCTATTTATCATGTGTTTTTACGACGATTCGGAATAATACTTACGTCGGTTCGTATATAATAACATAACAACGAGTATGTCACCCGTTTCAAACTATTAACTTCTGTATATGTGCGACGAAATAAACTAACCAGTCCGAGGATGCGGTTTCCGTGTAGGTATTATAATATTCGGGCGACAGGAAATCGTTTCCTGCGAGCCCGAGGCGCGATATACGCGGCCGTTCACACACCCGTTTATTAGTTACTTACCTATAAGTATATAACGTCCGTTCGGTTGTTCAGCGATTTTATAATGTTACGACGACGTGTAGATACGTAATTTTATGATATTATATTATTATAATCAGTTATTTACAGGTAGGTATACACAGAGGCGTGTTTTTTTTTTCATATTATACCATTTATAATAATGCCGCTCGCGTTTTTACTACGCGAACGTTTTTTGCAAAACCGTGTACGTTCCGTTTACATAAGTCATTCGCAGTCCCGTTCGTCTACGAGAATATATACGATATAACCGATATCTTTGAAGAATATTATTATTTCGAGTTTATATTACAGCATTATTATATATGGAGTATATAGACGCTAGAGAATGTTTCCCAACCTTTTTGATAGTACGGATCAATGATGTATACCTAATATATGACATTTGACTAGTAGCCACTTTGAGGATAAATTCTCACTGTTCTCTCGCAGCCACCAGATATTTCGGCAGTTCTTATCTTTTTGTATTGTTTTTTTTTTTTTTTTATCAAATTCAAATACACAATAGTAGTTATAATTTACAAACCATCTTCCTTTATAAACAACATTATATTATGTAGCTATTAAAACTGTGTGTATCAAAAATAATTTTATCCTAAATAGATTTAACATTGAGTAATATAATTGATTTGTACGATAACTAAAATTTAAAAATGGCGATGAGATGATGTGCGATTAAACCCTTATACCTCTTTCCATGTATACTCCCCTGTTACAGACCACTTGGAGAATTTTTCAGAGGTGTCAGACTGGTGGACGATCTGGATTTAAGGGAAACTTTTATAAGTTATAGCAAAAGTTTTGGCTTATAAGTTATAAACAAGAGTCATTTTTGTTCAAAGATTTACTAGATTTAGTAATTATAGGAGAAAAAATTAAGAAAATACGATATGTATATTATGATGACTTTTTTTGTAGCTCGTTAAAAAACCGTTACCTATTTATATAACACAATATATTTTTTATTTTATTGCTAACAAGATGACTCACAATCAGACCATAACTCATATTACATGTAGTTTACATAGTAATGTCATACATTTTCAGGAGTTGGTTTGCATTTTTTTTTTGTGGGGCTAATACCTTTCCCCCGATCACCCTCCTAGAACAAACACTGGTCCAACCAATTTCTCTGTCGATTATTTATTTATTACAAAAACCAAACACAAAAACCATTGTTCACACTCACATAATTATGATGTTTCCGAAAGAAAATATATGAAGGTAACGTATAAATAAAAATTCTCCGGAATCTAATGGCATGTAATATTGTTTAGTATGATTTTTCGCGAACATCGAATTTTTTTTTTAAATTTGTTGAATAAAATAATAGTCGAACAAAATCATTGGACCATAGATTTAGAACCACTGGTAAATAGATACCCTACGGGTATATGTCTGTGTGTATGTTTGTATATGTGTGTGAAAGAGAGAGAGAGAGAAAGAGAGAGAGATCATTAGAAAAGCAAAAAAATTACCCTCCGTGATCGGTTGTAATATTATTATTACGTGTGCCCAGTCGTTCGTTCACAAACTATAAAATAACATAATATTACTTCTGAAAAAATATTATGGATGACGTATTATTTTCATCTGGTTACGTTTATAATACGAATAGGTCGATGGTAGGCCCCGGGGACAATATATGCGCACAAAACTGCGAATGCGTAGAATGTATATAGAGAGATATAATAAAATTATTATTATTTCGAATTCGACCAACGGTATATGTTTTATAGTAGAATTTTTTTTCATCATCATCCGGCCTCCTTATTATTCTAACCGTTGGCATATATATAATGCTTTTGTGTAGGGGGCCGCGGGGGATCAGTGGCAAACAATTTCCTTGTGAACTAGGGAGTTTTTTTTTTTTTTAAATTTACACACGAAATTGTATTTACATTCAATCATTTGTTCATTATTCTTCTTTCTTCAGCTTCAAAGACCCGATACTATCTCTTCCTAGTTTTTCACTCCTAGTATTGTTAGATCCTTTCCGACTTTATCAGACCATCATCGTTGTTTGGGTAAGACCTAAGGATCTGTTATCTTGTGGTTTTCATATTAAGGACTTTTTTTGTAATGGGTTTGTACGTGGCTTAACTATAGTCAGCTTAATCTTTTGAGTCGATTATCACAATTGTGTATGGTTTTGAAAATACATATAAGGGACGCAGTGAAAGACAATGGGATGGGGGGGTGTCTGACGTGCACATCCCCTCCTGTACACTTCTAATTTGAACATCTGTCCCAATGGCCTTCGTAAGATTAAAAACAATATAAAGTCGAAGTATTTCATTATAATTATATGAGTTGTTGCATTTTTATTAGCACTTAGCAGACACTATACCTATCACCGCTGATAATTCACCTGTTTCGTATAATAAATGGTTTTTTAAATAAGAATGTTTCATAACCGTCAATGTGCAATTGCCTTGAATCGGACGAGACTTTCTATACGAATGGAAAAAAATTATAAAAATAGATACTTGATATATAGGTATTATTTTTAAATGTACAAGCAAACCTAAACCTATATATTATGGTAGGTATACTCATGATCGAATAGAAAATAAAAATAGGTAACGCAATTAACGAGTATAAAAGTATATTATTTATGCATACTATAACCTCTACGTCATCTATAATTGTCGAAAAAAATTGTAATAACACGTGCTTCGCAATAAAGTTTCGGTTTTTTCTTTCTTCTATTATATATAATGTGATGAACCGGTCGAAACCTTTATGCCTCCTCCTTTCATAAATTGAAATGACGCCACTGTATTATTATATTGTTATTGTGAAATCAATGGTCAGTTAAAACTATTATTATAAACACTTTGGTTTTATATAGATACCAATACATATATTTAGCGATTACAATACAAATTTTAATAATCGTTAATTGTGCTACGACATTCAATATGATGAACTCTATAATTCTATAATAATTACATAATTTGCGATTTTTGTTTCGATAAGTTTCGATTTCAATATTCGTCATAATGATAATAAATAATAATAATGTACAATTATCTAGTTTTATCCGAATCAATTAGCTATATTAAAAGTAAATTAATATATAATTAGACATGAGTGGATTCAAACAAAATAGGTACCCACCTGCCATTGTAATTAGGGCCCAGAATTATAAGCACTTTTAGATTTTAACGTGCGAAATATGAATGCATTTTTGCATTTATTATCATTAAAATTAAAATCAAAGTTAACTATGCAATATGAACTAAGGAAATAATTTTAATGCCAAATCATACAGCTTATAAAATATGTTTCGAGGGAAAATGATCGGCTGGCGTCATATAAAAATACACCAAAAATGATGGAAAAGCCCTCTAACATTTTTCGTTTATAATTATGGGTAATTTAAATATATTTAATAAAATCTTATTTATACCTAATACTTATTTATGTTAAATATCTTCAAAAATTTTCAGTTAATAAACGTATTTTTTATTATAAAACTTTCAGTTCAACTACCGAGTAACATGATAAAACAATGCTTACGTAAAATAAGTAAAACTATCTTAAATTTAATTTTAGAGCAAAAGCATCTATTATGACATTTACAGAGAAAAATATTTTTGAGGAACCTTATAGGATTTTTGTAAATTATAAATTTACAACTCGATTTAAAAGGCACAAATCCTTTATTATTTATTTTTTTATTTTTAAATAAATAATTTTTTCAATAGTTCATATTTCAAAAAACATGTATAAGATTCCTTCCAAAATATTGTAATACACTTATATCTATAATAAGTATTTAATTCGAATCGCTTAATATTTATTTTATAGAATATATTTTGAACTTTACAAATATCCCTATTCGGTACCAAACTGCATCATCGTTATCGTGTCGTATACTACATGAAACTTAAATGACTTATGTTTAATGAATATACTATACACGCTTTTACTAGGTGTGGCTATTAAATAACGAGACTGCTCGCCTAGAGGGCGCCTTAAATGAATAGTAAAAAAAACGAGTAATGCGTTGGGTATCTATATATCTTATCTATGCACGTACCAAAACACGTTTTCGTCACTATTATAGTATTTGTGCAGTAGTGGTTTGAAACGAACCTGTTTTTTTCTCGTGCCGAAAACCATGTGTGACGAAAAACATGAGCAACGGATAAACGTAAAATTTTCTCGTTAAACTAAAAAAAACTCCAACTGAGTGCTATAAGTTGTTAAAAGAGGCCTATAGTGAGGATTTCCTATCTCGGGCGCGTGTTTTTGAGTGGCATAAATTATTTTCTGAAGGTCGAGAGTGCACCGGAATCCAATTCAGTCGTAATCCAAATTCAAAACCGTTTTCTTCGATATCAACGGCATCGTGATGACTGAATGGGTTCCAGAGGGTCAAACTGTGAACCAACATTACTATTTGACAGTTTTGGCAACATTGCGCGAATGAGTTCGTAAGAAACGGTCGATATTGTGGAAAAACAAGTCGTGGATCTTGCACCAGGATAAAGCGTGAAGCGTTATTTGGCCGCTTAAGGCACTCCAGTACTCGAACACGCGTCTTACTCACCCGACTTGGCACCCTGCGACTTTTACTTGTTTCCGAAGATAAAGTCTGCCTTAAAAGGAATCCGGTTTGAGTCGACGGAAGAGGTGAAACAAAAATCGGCGGAACTCCTGAATGGTCTTACGAAAACAGACTTCCAGCACTGCCTCGAGCAATGGAAGAAACGAATGAAACGGTGTGTGGTGAGGGGAGGGGAGTATATTGAAGGGGAGCATTTGAATGTAGAATAACTTTTATAATAAAACACTCTTTCGTAATCAGTCTCGTTATTTAATAGCCACACCTTGTATAGGCGTTTTTATTGCATTTTCTTGTATTATAAATTTTCAGGCTTTACAATGATATATAAATACTAAAATAATAAACACTATGGGTATTATCATATAATATTATGATAGCATAATTTAAGTCTACAAGAATACTCCATTGTGTATAGCGTGCTACGATTATATTTTCGTCAAGATGCCTATATATCTATTTATAATATAATATAATATTGTTTTAATAGTGATAAGCGTTTCAAATTTTTAAAAAATTTTATTTATTGAATAGTATATTGGTCGCGAGAGCCACGGTGAGCGAAAATCAATTTTCAATATCGTTTTTGGTTAATTATAAGTATAATTTATAACTGTGCGAGCGATTAAGCGGATATATGGCCTACACACTTCTTGGTTTTTAAACAATGCGTGTACTCAATATTTTTTAATTTAAAACGCAGGTATACGTTTACAGAAACGCGAATACTTGGTTATATTTCACATATATGTCTTGTTTATTATTAACTATTATCAAAACACCATATATCGATGCATGTTATCACAATGATTCAACGGTGAATGAAAACAGACAGTGACGTTTTTTCTTTCTTTTCCGTCAATCTGTTGTTGAATCAGGAGTGGTGGTTCTAGCCTGTTGATGACTAGGACTCGGAACTTAATGCTCTTAAAAAGTAAAAATATGCACCTAGATAATCTCTCTTAATACGACGCTCGAAAATAAAATGTTTTTGAAGTTTTTGTGGTATGATGATGGTCACACTACAAAACACTCATATCACTCATGCCTACTCAACGTGCACATCTACCTATATTGATAAAAATCAGTTTTCTTTTTCCTAAGGTCCTAAACAAAATACCTCCCGAATAAAACTATATTATTGCTGTGTTACTTTTTAGATTATATACTCGTATAATATAAAAAAAAAACAAAACAAAGCAAATAATAATAATAAACATTCGTCAGCTTGTTGGTGTTGCTGCAGCGATATACTATAACCGGTGTATTTAAAGAGGTGGCAGTGTACTTAATATAGCGACTTTATGACACATGTTTTTTCTTTTAATATTCACATATTGACCTTCCTTCATGCACGTGAGACCAATTGTGAGATAACGTTTATTTTGGTTCTGGCACGCCATTCCAATAATAATAATGATAATAATAATTAGTGGCGTGGGTGGTATATCATGCCTGCGCGGTTATATATTATTATTTATATTGATGTGTGAAAATAACAACATAATTTTCCAACACATAAAGAAAACAATAATAATATATTATCGAACTGTAGTAGCGAGCAAGGGGTAAGAGGAGATATTCCGCGGTCACTCAGATAATATATTGACGATTGTTTTTGTATTCCCACGTGCGCATGAAAAAATGACCGCGTGTGTGTAATTGTTTCATTTCAAACTTCCCGTCTTCCACCAATAAAATGCACATAATAAAAACAAATATATATAATGGCATTATCGGCTATTTATTGTATACCTACATTACATTACACGTATATATTGCTCCAGTAAAATTTTTTCACATTATCATCAGCAGTATAGTTGTGTGAGAATGTTTTTACCTTGTAACGTTTGAAACAAAAAAAAAAACATTGTTAATGAAATACAATTCTGAGCGAAGTTCGGTTAAACATTTTCCGCGTCCAGAAAAAGCTATAAGTATTCTGTGCAAATTTCAAGTCACTGTGATAATTTTTAACCGAATTACAAAAGAAAAAAAATCAAATCGAAAATAATGAAATCATTATTACCGTAAATATTTCCGTTTTTCTAATTATTGTGAAAACTGCAAGGAAAATCATCAAAAAACAACTTCCCCAATGGATTAACTAGATACAATTTGATTTCAGAAAAAATGCTAAACTTAAAAATCGGAGCAATATTTCTGATAGAACCTATTGTTAATAGACAAAAAAAAATATAGAGGTCACACACATACATCGTATTAAAGCCAATAAATTACTCGCTGCGCTTAGAATCTAAAGTAAAATAAAAAGCGGATTCCCGTCGATCGAAACGTTCCATTGAGTGTATAGAATAAGAAATTTAAAATGTTAGGATTTTATATTCTGAAATCAATTTTTATACCTAGGTACCTATTACCGCGCAATTCGACACTCGTCAAGTATGCTTGACGCGTAGTACACAAGAGGAGCGTGCAGTCACAGTATAGGCAACAAGATGACTGTGATATGATGGTATTGTATTTTACGTGTGTACCTATTAACCAGCGAATAGATAATTCCTCGGATTCTAACGGAAGTCGAACTCCGATCCCGTATAAAAATTGGCACGTACCAAATCGGCGAAATGTCTCGACATACGAATGTGAAATTAATGAGATACCTATTCGTATACTCTATGGTCTTTGGATTGTGATACGGAGTCATTAGTCATTAAAAACACGTCTGCGGGAAAATAATGACGCGAATTAAATTAGGCATAATAGGTAATGAAAGGATAAATATATCTTTGGTCCCAGGGAAGAAGAGCTTAAGTTAATTTAAGTAGTTTTCAATACGAGCAATTAAAAAATTTAAAAATAAATACACTTAGACTTACATTAATACACTACATACATTAATTTTAAAAATATATTCACTTATGCCATTTACATCAATAAATAAAGCCGAAAAATTCCATAAGACAAAATTATAAAACAAACAAAATAATTCCGAAAAATTACTAGTCTTTCTTCCCTGTGATCAAAGATATAGCGTACGACTAAGGAAAACAGTCGAGAAAATACTAACGAAACGGTCAACGTGTGAGCAGTCTTGATCGCCCAGTCGTATGATATATTATAAATATAACTAATAACGATCGATCGTTTATAACACGTTTCATGATCGTATTTCATAATATTATATACTTCAGAAATGTTATAGCCGTGTGAGATAACCGGTAATGAACACGTTTTTATGGTGTGGTTTTCAGCTACAACAGTATACCTATATCTATTAATACTAAGCTAATACAAAATATATTGGGCAGTTAAAATATTATGTTTATTATATACATATGATGGTTATACTCAAAATGGTGATATTGCGTAAGTCCGTCGAAAAAGAAATTCAATATCCTTATACGTCCATGCATATTATAATATTATATGCCTCCCGAATTAGGTTGCAGTAAACGCAAGTAAGATATAATAATAATATGTTATTTCGCTAGAATTCATACGAATTTATGTACACAGAATTATTGTTCGCAAAGCATAATAAACAATGTACAATTATTGCGGTTTTTGCTCGTTAAAATTTTTTTTTTCCTTCGTAAAAATTTGAAACATTTAACAAGGGTACGACGATTACGCGTAAACAATATTAATTATATTATCTAAAAGACTGTTACATGGATGTATTTCTTTTTATATAGAGCAATTTAATTTATATCTGTACGCAATAATAAGTCGATAGAGCAATTTAATTTATATCTGTACGCAATAATAAGTCGATAGACCATTGCTAAAAAAAAAAAAATGATTCTGAGTAGATTTGTATTATAGACCGATTACACATATTTTTTTCCTCTATAGTTGCTTTTTAAAGTAAACTGCATTATTTTAAGGACCAAGATTAAATTACATCTTTGTTACACGCTACAATAGATATATGCATGTAATTTTAAGATGTATAACATAAATTACAATTGAGTCACAATCATTACGTCACAAGCATACTACATTGGTTTTTTTTATAATTAATTAGTTGATTTAGTTATTTAAAAATAATAATTCTGCAAATGAACGTGAAACAGTGGGAAATTAATTTCTTGATTCGATTATGAAATATATCCAAATACGTATTATAATATTTCTCAATAATTTGATTTACTATTATACTATTACTATAGGCCGAAACCATAAGACGGGAAAATAGGGCGAAGGAAGATGTAAAAAAATTAAGTCAGGAGTGGATTGGAAAAAAGTATCGTTAGATTTTAGGGGAAATCGTTTGAACGGTATGGCCTTAAAAGCCCGAACCACGGAAGAAACAGGCAATAATATTGCTGTGAGTAGTTTTCGAAAAATATAATATAAAATAATATTTTGAACATCCCCATGGGCGTGAATTTCAAAAGAAAAATGTATTTATTATGACATTTATCATAATTATAACTAGGACTGTGAATTAAATGCACTAAAAGCCTAGTACCTAATCAGTTTTTATAAAACCCGAATCCACTAAAATCCACAATTAAAACACATTATAATATGAAAAATATTTATTCAATGTATAGATAATACTTGCTACTCTTATTAACTTATTCCAACGTTATTAAGTAGGTATCAATAGTTTTTTTTGGAGCTGGCCTTTGCCTATATTATCTATCTAATCATTAAAATAATCGTAATCGTCAAAACAAGTAGTTATATTTTTTTTTTCACATTGTACTAGTACCTTATTATAGGTTCTTATGTAATATTATTATAATGAATAATTCAAATTGTGTAGTCATGCAAAAAAAAAAATAAAAAACAAAAACTAAAAATATTTCTTATAATACGCAAATACTTACGTCTTGTCGCATTACATACAATATACGGCTGTCATTTTTTTTTTTTTTTTTATTGTGTCTGTATCTACAAATACGGATACAATTTAAAAAACAAAATGTAAATTGATAAAATGGCGCTTAAGTACTGCCTTTTACAAATTGACAGCCGAATAGTTTGGATGAACATTTTGCAAATTCAACACAAATAAAATTGTCAACATTTTGTATTATTATTATTATTTATTGAAGGAAATGTTGATAACCATTTCGGGTTATTCGATAATATTGTTTAGACTCCTGAAACAATCTCCTTTGGCCAATCCAATAGATATGGATATGTGTTTACGTATGATTAATTATGGTTATTTAACAATAAATTGCAAAATTAACATTTTTCAGACACTGAATACAATTTCTAGGAATTTGAATTTTTTAAATCAGAGATCGATGTGACCTACAAAATGTCTTCATGTTTGAAATAGTAAAAAAAAAAATAACATACAAATTCAACAACTATTATAAGAGGCGTGAGAGTTTTCCCCGAGGCATGTTTGTGTACGAAATATATTACAGTAGCTCCGATAGCATTAACATTGTACTATTTTCGTTTGAAATATTATTTTTACATCCCATTTATATTTTATCGCAATGGCTGTATAAAAATATATCGAAAACCTTAATATTATCGAAATATTAAAAGTAATTTTAAAAAGTGCCTAGGTACCCATATTATAGTATGTATATAGCAATATAGGTATAAATTTCTGGTACATAGTTTAATTTATCGGTTCGTTCACGCAATAACTGTATGCATATTATATAAAAGAAATAGCGTCTGGAGAAAAGTTTACCTCTAGTTAAAATATCCTATACATAACACATACCTAATAATATACTTAATCTAATGACATATACCTACTAATACCGATATGGATGTGGTTGTTTGAAACATCTTAAATAGACTAGGTAGGTATATCTATCATAACATTTTGGCGTTAACTGTCAGTGTAAAATATTAATAATGCAAGTTTAATATTATAATGTCGTTACACAATATTATTGTATATATATAGTAATAAAAAAAAAAATATTCAAAAATAAACAAGGAAAAAAAGATTGTAAACATCGGCATTTGGTATTCTTTATTAGGCTATAATTCGTCGAGATGTTTTTTTAAAATTTGTTTTTTATATTATTTTATTGTATTATAGGTATACACACACGTGTATCGTGATACATCTTATCTTATGATAATAATTTCCAATGGACAAAATATCATTGTCGGTCGATTATTGGGCTGTTGGGCTGTAATAAATAATGATGCAACAAAAATTCACAAAATCCGGACTTTAATTATTGTCATTATGATATAGAAAGTATGGTGTTAATTCAATGTGTATAAATAAATATGTATAATGTATATACATATATGTTGAAATAAATGTATAGGTACGTGCATTTTTAAAATCAGAAATAATAGTTACACGAAATTATATTTTTTCTAGTGAAAATAGTAAAGATATATTTATTTATAATACAACATTTAAGTAAATATTAATGTTCTAATGACGTTAGTAAATTTACTTATAAGCAGTAGAAATTTGTTTCATATGGTTCAATGTACTGCTTGCTTTTATTCATTCAATCTTTTGTTCAATAAATGCATAATTTAATACAATTTCATCTAAATTTTCATAAGCGCGAGATAAAACGTATTTCAATGGCTTGCTGGGGCAAATTGGTTCAGTCCTACCAAAGTAGGGATCTCAAATTTATTTATTATAAATACGGGATATTTCAAATCATACTGAAAATGTATATGTGTTGCAACAAACTACGTGGAGGGAGAAGTGTGATGGTAATAAGGACGTAGCCTAGCCCTTAAAACTAGTCCGTAACTTAAAAGTTATCCAATTAATTTGAATAATTTATTTTTACTTTTTAGGTAGTTTTTTGTATCTAAAATAATGATAAAACCAAAACTGACATACATATTAATAGTTCAAGAATTTGTCTACAGCGATACTTATTACCGAATCTCATATAACGCGTCTACTGCTAGGTGTGCTTGTCGATATAGTAAAAAGAAGTAATAAAAGAAACGAAAAAGAAAAAAACTAAAGTTCTGATTTTATTAGTATTTATAATGATTAATTTCAATTTATGAGGTAGTTCTAAAGCAGCATATTCCCTGTTACTTCCCTCACTGTAACTTTCACTAATAATTTACAACTTTTTTCAGTCTTTGTAATTTATATACAATTTAGCATACTTGTAAATTGGACATCTCCACTCTCCATCTCTTATCTTAGTTAACATTTCTACTGTAGAAATCCTAATATTCATTATGTGATTGTCAATACTTATTTAGTAAAAAATTTATTAAATGAAATATCAAATAGTAGGAATAATATTTATCACACAAACAACAGTTCACGTATTTCCGCGAAGAAATAGGAAAACATACGAACATATTTTAAACTTTCTGTTTAACGACAATTTAAATAAATTTTTGGTTTATAAAAATGTATCATAATAATATTACTATGGTGACTGAAATGATACTTTTTCAATGTTCCGAGTGCGTCCGAAATAAGGTATCAACCGAGTGCATTTTAAGAAAATATATTTTCAACATAGCTCAAATGCACCTCAGTTAATTTAGTGTTACCTATGATGGTGCACCACAACTGGCTTACACCCCAAAAATGTTTGGTTATTTTATTATCTATTATTGATTACACTCATTATGGTTGGTTGAATGTTTTAAAATCGATTCAGAATACGCCATAGTTTTTGGAGTACTTATAGTATTTAAATATTTTTGTATATGAAAACATTACAATTTTTACATTTGTTTAGATCATTTTTGAAAATTACGGCGCTATTCACTCATTCACTAACTTAGTTGCCACACGACTACAAGCCATACTCCACTGTCTTACTGAGTTTTATATCGAAGTTGAAATAAAGTTTGTTTCCACACTAATCAGTTTTTAAATAAGTATTATAGCATCGATACAACTGGAGACGCAATTAGACAATTTAAAATAATTTGCCGATAAAACCACTGACGAACTCATCTATGCAAAAGGTAAAAATTAAAAATGGTACACCTTCGGGATATCCCCTTTCAATTACCTCCGTCGGCTGGCAACCGAATCCGTCGCTCCGTGTGAGATAGCCACATACGTTAACGGGCACAGTGGCGACAATAAGGGACTCACCAAATGTTGGCCGACGATCTCGGTCAAAACGCGGTTAATCAGTGTTGTCTAAAAATCAATAAAACGTAATAAATCGCAGTGCAGTCGATCGGATCCGCGTGTAATTAATAATCACTCTAAAATAATTGGCAGTATAACAAAGTAATGATACTATGCTAGTGAACATTGACAAAACAAGATATATCATTTTCCAAAATCATAAAGTGTTAAAAAACTACGAAAAAAATCTAATGATAAAACGACTTGAATGTGAGGGTAACCTTGAGTGCCCTGCAGTCTCGAAACATATTTTTATTGATATGGTACGAGTCTATAGCTACTACATTGTTTATTGTATAATACTATTTAGGTAGTACAGTATTGTTAAAATGTGCGATGTGCAAACGACTGACCAAATATTTTAGCTGTGGAATTTATGATGCTAACGTTAAACTCCGGAAAATATTCCGCCCTAAATATTATAATATACTTGAATTTAAATTTCCGTTAAAATAAAACGTATACAAGATGTTCGTATATTATATAACAATACTATAATCAATGCTATAAGCTATATGGTCTTATATAAATTTGGAAAGGAGTTAATATAAATCAAATTCTCGACCATCTCGTCACGAATCTTCCGGTGGATCCACGTTCATCAGACATGGACAACGGTTGATTCATCGTCAACGATGTCATCTGAAAATTACGTGAAACGCAGTGTAATATAGTTAACCACCGATCCGTTTCGCTGTCACACGAAATTACTTGCATTTTGGAGATTTATAACTACAGCTGTTCAAGTGTAGAAAAACAGAGGAACTAGCAAATAATATTACAATTTTTAGTTTCAACAAATTTTTTTTTCTTTTAATATAATATATAAAGATATTATCTTTATCACAAAAAATTACGATAATACGCATCTATACAACAAGTAATTAAATAAATGACAAATATAGTGGAAACATGAAAAGAAGCTTCATAATAGAAGCACCTCGGCTGTATCAATAAGTTGTGACGAAATTTACCTATGGATCGTTGACCGAATCTAAACAAAAATATTTTATCTAGGTCGGGAGTGATCACTGCAGCCGTAATAAAGGAATAAAACAGCTATAATGATATTAGCCAGGAGGAGATCCTCGGAGTCTAACCCCCCTCTCCGCCGAATTTGTTTTAAACAATTACTATACTTTGATTTGGAAATGGACCCCCCCTCCACAAATTAAATCCTAGTTTCATTTTTGATAATGATCAGAAACTTACGCTACTTGAACATGCGAGGTACGAAAAACTAAAAGTGCAAAGGACGTTATAGTGTATATTTATTTACTATTTTGTCAAAATGAAATCCTATTACGGTGTGGGTACAATATACGGCCGTGCATAAATATAAAGACTCCTAAAGACTTACGATATTAATATTCGGAAACGGGCCAAACAATAATTTGATTTCATAGCTGCTTATTATTCAAGCGTTCCCTGTCATAGTGTTATGATAACTATACAATTGGTTCCCGGATCAGAAAAAAAAAAATGTACGAGTTGGTTTTCATTAAATTATGTAGCACTATAAAATTGTTTTAGTTGGTTCCCGACCGTAATAATAGGTATAAATAATAAGTTTAATCGCGTTTTATTAGTTACTGGAAAATTTAGATTTCAGTATTTAATTTTGTATTGTAAATATTTTATTGGGTTTTATCGGGTTAGGAAAATTCCTATATAAGATATATTATATAGGTACCTAATTATGTATTTCTAACAGATTGGATATGTGCGTGTCTCAGTACTATTTTAGACATCAATCGTGTTTTAATATGCCAATGCGACAGTTTCGTAAAACGTTATATTATACTATTTGTAATGGTATCAATTAAAAACATAAAATAATGAGCCAACCGAATTCATTGTTTTCAATTAGAGAAGAAGACGCGTGCCTATTACGCACCCCGCAGTCGTAAAAATTATTTCGTTATTATTATACGTATACGAGCTCCCACATGCCGCGATCTCTTCGATTAATACACGGGCACATATTTTTATTATACTATTAATAGGTACCTACATTACATTATATATCTACATTATAGTATACAGGGTGATTTTTTTTTTCACGAGATGGAGATTTTATTTGTTCAATTTCAAGTACCAAATAAATATTTATATGTATTTATATTGTTTTTTTTAATCATTTAAAACAATTGTTTAAAATTTGTATTTAAAGACTAATTTCAAATATTTATCCTCAGACTTCGCTCTTTATATACATATATGTATATATCATGTACGTAGTATTCATTTTTAGCTTTCAAATGGCTTTTAAATTTCGATGCAAATTTGAAAAAAAAAATATTGATATGTGCATAACAAATTAATATATCGAATACACTATTTATGAGTTGTAATTCTTAAAAGTTATAACCCTTTTATCCCTACTCTTCCGGTCTAATATTTGAACTCATGAACGGTAAATCCTGCAAAATTATAAATAGTATTAGACGTATTAAAATTTTTGATTAAAAATATTATATTCACAAATTGTTTTTGAAAATTAGGGGGGGGGGGTTGAAAATATTTGAAAATCGAAAGTTAATAGTACCTATTTAACACATACTATATATGTAATACAATACATTTATACTTATTATACTTGTAATTATTATATTATGGAGTTTACGGTGTAAGGAATAAGGGTAAAATTTTGTAAATAAGATCGCTATTTATTGGTAAATGATTTAAAAAACTGAAAAATCAAAATCATCGATTTTATTCAAAACAGTCTTCGTAGATAATTGCTGGATCATGGTTAAAAGAAAATCACCCTGTATATGTACACACACGCACGTATAATACATGGTAATATTAATCAACTCAATGGCATTCGGCGGGACTTGTCGCGTGGGGTGAATACACTGCGGAGTGCACGAATATTGTAAATTGAAAAGACGACGATAATATCTCTGTATCAATCCTATTACATTTTTTCAGTATTTTGTTTTTACAGTATCCAGTGGTTGCACCGTTTTTTTTAACCTGTACGGAATTCGACGACGGGAGGGAGGAGGGTAGAAACACAACAATAAAGTGAATACCTAACATAAAATACTACTATACAACTAGATATTTGGGCGTCTTAGATTACAATTGGTTAGGAATTTTCAATGATAGGACATGAAATAATAATAACAATCATCAATAAATCGCATTTTTATAAAAACATTTTTGTTGACTCTATACTCGACTATATGGCCCTATGGAAATTTAAAAATCGAATTAAAAAAAAAAATATATACACTTTTTAATCAATGATTCCAAACTATTCATTGTAACAAGACTGAAATACCTATATCTTTACATTTTAAGAAGAAATTACAAAATACAAATCTCATAATTGCTGTAATTCCGCCGTGTGCACTCCACTGTGTAGATGAGATATGTATGGATAAAAAAGTAGTTTTCTTCGCATTTATACAAATATAATGATGTCGTCCGGTGAACATTTCACGGTATTTATAATAACAGTTATTTTTGTTGATATATTTCGAATCAATATTGGTAGGCATGAATACTTATTAGTTATTATTGTTTGAATAAATTGAATTACAATTAACTTAAGCAAACATGTCTGACTAAAAAATATATATCATTCGAATGTTATATTATTATAACAAAACGGGTAATCATTTTATGATCGGTAGGAAAAAATGTAATACTATATTTGTTTTTTGAATATAAATGTAGATATCATTACTATTTTTCAAATTATAATAATATATTCGTGCGTGTATTCACAAATTCACAGCGAGCACGAGAAAGTATGTAATAACAAATTATTGAGTATAATGTTATTCGGCAAATTGCATTCCGTTGCGGGTTTAAAAATAATAATAATATACACAGTACACCTTATCAAATACAATTATGACCAATATATTATATCGTTATCGTATAATATGTAATATATATATATTTCCATCATCGGATCGGCCTCGGCGGATGTTATATTTTTTATAATAGTTTTTGTTAAATATTATATTCTCGTAAGTTACAATTATAGTTTCTAAAACAAATTATGCGACGTAATTATATAGGATAACAACATTTTTTTTTTTATCGATATCGACTTTGGTTGCACAATCGATAAAGATAATAATATTATATATCCACATGATGTGTAAATTATTACCAATTTCGTATATATATATATACCTTAGGGCAATGGCATATCCAATAGAAATCATTTTTGCTTTTTGAGTGAATGGGGGAGTTAGTCACAGTTGCCGTTGTAGCTATCGTCTCTTTGAAAACTTTTGTATCTAAATATTAATTGTATATAACTTTGTAGCTCTTTCTTAATCGAGGAGATTAAAATAAAAATATAGTGTGGGAGTCGAGTGTAGCAAAGATGAGAATATTATGCTTATATTGATGGATAGCTATAATGAGTGATGAATAGTCACTATATATTAGTATATAAAGAGGACAGTTTACGGGCGAATTAGGACGAAATGAGAGAAAGAGAAACATGTGCGGAAAAATTCGGGGTGTACGATGTGGGAGATCAAGTTAAATAATGGAATTTTAGGACCGAGGTGATGGCTTACTTCGAATAATGTAGTTGCAAAGGAGTCGATGGGGATAATAAGATTATTGTTAAAATAACAATTAATTTATAATAATTTTTAAAAAAAATAATAAAATAAAAATCCTGGATCTGTGGTCAAATTCTGTTACTTATTGACGGGGTCAATGTGCGTACGTTACTATCGTTTATTGTGATTGCGGCTTGCCAATGGAAATAGTATTTCTCCAGTAAACGACAACGAAACAGCCGTGTTTCGTCCATTAACGATATTTATGATGCTAATGAGATAAATTATACACCCGTAAGTCGATGTATACACGTGCGTACGGTACCAAAAAAAAAAAAAAAATTAGAAAGTGAGAGTGACCGTTACGAATGAATTCAACATACTAATATAACGTTGTTAAAACCACTTTAGTACTTATAATAATTATTTCATTTATACGAATGCATAGCCCATAGGTTAAGTACCTATACTAGATGAATATTGCCGTTAAGCACTAAAACAAGCGGCTTCTTGAGGATTATATCCGTTTGGGAATAATTGTTTTTTTTTCTTCTATTTGATTAAACAACACATCCTTGTCATTCGAACTTTATTTGTTTTTAATTTTATGTGTATGGCGACCGGATAGTTATGTAAAAGTTGGCGGTACATGATGTTTATAATATGAAAAATCGGAACAAAATGTAGTAATGTAAAATAATTAACGGTCTTTCCAGTATGCAGTTAGGTATCCAGTACAAATTCGATAAATATAATCAAGACGAGTTTGAATCAGAGTTTTTTTTTTCACGTTTTCTCGTTTTGCATTTTTAAGAAATCTAATAGTTTTATTGTTTATTCGCCATATACGGTATACCAAATTAAACACTATAAAAATACGTGCGCCGTAATATTTTTCAAAGTTTACGAATTATGGTTTTAAAAATATTATAATATTGCAGTAATTATACCTATAGTATGTAAAAAATTGTTAAAATTTTCAACCCAACACCATCGTAATGCATTTACATAATTAGTTTAAGTATAGGTACCTGCTATTTGACTATATCTGATGACTAATTCGCTAAAACAAATATACAACTTAATATTGACAATACGTAATAGGATGTTATATAGAAATGTACTAATTTATGGTAGATAGGTAATTATAGTTTTGTAGTAATATTAACATCGTTCAATGTATTAAAAAATAAAAATAATTTCTTTGAATCCTTTCCAAACGAGTAAAATATAGCAAGCACTTTATCTACAGAGCGTAAACAAATAATTTTTATACGTTTTTAATTATTATTCAAGTGAAACGATTAATTAGAATTTAAATATTCAGAATTCGATAAACTCATAAATATAGCTTGTTTAACCTAAGATCAAGTAAACGAATGGCGGGATAAAATAATTATGATTTATCGTAGTCTTAAGGCACGTTCACAATATACGTCATAGAACGTAGGTACTCATTACACGGATGATTTAATTCTATAAACCTATAGACGAGACGGTTACGTTCGACGTAAATGATTAAATATTTTCGTATTAGGAAATGATTTTTGTTTTTGTAATCAATTTAATAGCAATACAACATAATAGGTAATCATTTATTCAAAACAAATTTTGAAGGTCAATGTAACGAGTCGCATTTTATTAACATTCACGATACTCGTGCAAATATAATATAGGCATTACTAAACGTTTGCCAAATCACGATCAGCAACAATCGTTTAGCATAATGTATTATTTTTTTCTTTCGTACGAACATGATGTATAATTTAGAAAATTTAAACTTGTTCTATATTTTTCGGTTCGCGCTGACGACTTAGGGTATTTTGAGATAATTTCAAATGACGTGTAATTGGTATATCTATTCTTTTTTACTTTTTATTTCCGACAGGTTGATACTATGAATTTATAATGTATGACAAGAGAATAAGTCACGTTACTATTTTTGACGAATAATCATTGTTGAAACTTAAAATTGTGAAATGTTTAACTTAACACTTACTATAATATGTTTACAAGTTCACTGCGTTTAGATAATTTGCAGTCGGAGAATTAATGTATTTTTATGAATTATAAATAAATCAAAAATTCACTCAAATAAAAATCATTAAAAAAAAAAAAAAAATGGCATTTTGTTATAATACATATGGTAGGCTAGTTTTTTTGTTTTGGACAGATTGCAAGAGGAGGTCAAACAACATTATTGTATTTGCACTTTTAAAACGCGAAAATAACAATAAATCGCCGCGTTTAAAAATTAGTTCTGATTTATTTGTATTATCGGTTCAATACCATTTGTGACCTTTTTGTTTATAAGTACAAAGTCGCTGAACACTATATATTTAATAATGTGTATGGCCTCAAAAAGTGTTTATCTCGCACTATGTTCGAAATTCAAAATATGCGCCGAATGTGCAGAAACATTAATATTATATTTTATTACCCATTGTGTTTATTTTCAGATGTCGTTTTGTACTTACAAACTGTATTGGTCACGGAATCTCTTTCGGAACGAGCCGAAATTCAACGTCGACAACTTTTGGAAAAACTCTCTAACAGAGGAATATCGCCGGCTCCGTACATGGACATGAATGGACGATCAAAAGGTTAGCTTGGGTACCAGTATTGTTTTTACTTCGTATACTTACATAATATATTAATATAATTGTCGCCAATTCCAAAACTCAAGATGACAAGAGTGTAATATAATATATTCTATAGCTTTCACTGGACGAATAAAATTAATAATTCGTAAAAAGTAAATGGTATTACCCAGAAGTAAGAATAACTATATAATATTATACAAGATATGAATACATAATAGATATATAGTATAGTTTTCATTATTGTTCCGGTGTCGTCTCGTTTCCATTTCAATAATGCAATTTCAAGGTAAAATCTTGACACGCTATGAAAAACCCACTACATAATATTATACTCTATGCACATTTTTTAGGTAGGCCGATAAATACCCACGATACGTCATAATATTTGTATGCGTATCTACCGTATCATGTCACTTTGATAATAAAATAATTAAAGACCGGATTTCATATAAAATGCATATTGATAATTTCTACGTTATAATACATATACATGTACAATCAGTGAGTGTCCATAAATCATTACTTGATTGATTAATTTACAAAATATTGAATTATTGAAATAAAAAACTTTGCGTGTTTTAAATATTTTTTGCATATTTAGCCACTTCTAAACAGAGGCGAGTAAAAAAGACGGACATACTTCGCACGATGGGTGCAGTCACTGTTATTGGTGAGAAGTTGGGAATGTAGAATAAAGAAGGGAATTTAATGTATATCTGTAAACAACGATAAATCATTACTTACGAAAAAACAATTCTGGGCGGAGATCAGTTGATATTGATGCTTTGTCAACAATATATAATATGTATATTATGTCATATAATTAAATAGGCATTATATATTTTTTTTAATAATATTTGTTTAATATTGTATCCATTTTCTCGTTTTTCATACTACTTCCTGGTTTTCCCATGTTTTTCCCGGTTTTTCATTTGCTGGGGAAATTCTTTGGAAAATCGAAAAATAACCTCCTTAAAGTACTTTCCTAAGAAAATTTTCTTTCAGAAATCTTTCTACATAGTATGCATTAGAGTAAGCTTACTGGTAAAAAAAGTGTTCACATAAAAAAAATTAACATCTTTCTAAAACCAATACATTCTTCGCTACACTCAGAATCTAAAAGTATAAATATACACACCAAAAAGGTGAACATGGAACACACTTAAATAACTTTTTGTTTTTCCAACTAATATACTACATTTTTCGTAATTTTTTCTAATTAACAATGTTAAGTTAGATTACTAAAATACTATTTACTTGGTTTTTGAATGTATTAAAAAATTAAAATTAAATTTATTCTTAGTTTATTGTATTTTTCAGTTTACAGATTTTAATTAACTACCTAAGTATAATTTAAAATGTTCTTACTAATCAGATGTAAGTTTTAAATTTATGTTCTGTATATTTATGCTAGATTGTATATTTTACTGTTTGTTTACACAAATTAAAATAATTAATAATTTACACTTCAAAATTACGATACACAATAAAAAAACGTTATCAAAATTTCAATTTTATTTTGAATATTTCGTAATATTTTCTAGCATATTTTGACTTTTTTAGTACTTGTTTACATTGTCTAAATACTATCAAAATCGTTATATGTATTCATACAATATTTAGGGACGGCCAAAGTGTAGCGCAGATTGGACATATTTTGCTCAGGGCCTCGCATCGTATTCTTATAGATTCCTCACTCCCCAAGTGGGATATTTTGTGCTCTTAGGGTAAATTTTCAGTCACATCACGTAGGTATAGTTAGTAATAATTAAGGAACGGATTTAGAATCCGAAAAAAGTCTTTGAAGAAATCACTTTTACAATGAAGTTTATTTTTTTTTTCTATGGACAGCTTTTTAAACAGAAATTTTACTCCAATTTACAATAATAGCATTATTTCTAAAAGAAAATCTGACTGTGGTGGTACTTTCAGGAAGTTATTTTTAATTTTCCCAAGAGTTTTTCCAATAAATGGGAAAACCGGGAAAGTAGATACACTATTAAACAATTATTATTAAAGAAAATATATAATGCACATGAAATTATTTTACCATAATGTGACAAATATATTGTTGACGAAACAACACTATTAACCGAACTCCGCTCTGAATTGTTTTTTGTTAGCAATGATTAATCGTTGCATATACAGATATACATTAAATTTCCCCTCTACATTCCCAACTTCTCACCTACAATATTAGCCCACCCACGTGCGAAATATTTTCATTTTTTTTTTTCTTATTCTGTTATAACACTTTTTGCTCTTTTTCATTTCTAGATACCTAAATATTTTTTATAAATATCACTAGGGCTCAGATTTTATAGCATTTTCTAATTATTACAGGATAAAGATAAAAATAACATAATGATTTATTTTTTATTTTTCATAAATAGTAGAAAAAATCTGTAATTTGTAATTTAATTCATAAGAAAAATATTTAAAATTTTTGTTTCATATTATAATTTTTTTTTAAGTAACCTCGCGTATTGATCAATCGAACAGTATACATTTATGAATTCGTATCGGCTGTATTTATATGTTTAAAAAATATTATATTGAAAAGAATAAGTATTCAGAGAACAAAACACATATTACATTATTATGTACAAATTTTAATTTCATAGAGAGGAAAACCATTTATTATTATTGTTCTACGGAAATGGCTTGATAACAATAATATATAATATAATATTATAATATATTTATTTAGTATACTATATAGAGTACCTACTATTCACTTTTATCATCATAGAGTATACTGTACAAATATTTGCGTTTTTAGTATTGTCTATTAAAAATTCAAATGATATTAATTGAATAATTGTATTACATGTAAATCATTGTATTTAAAGAAAACTTTTTCATTTTTCATTTTTCACGTGCATAAGCGCGGCACCTAAATAAGGAATCCAAGACACGTGGCCCGGGTCATAAAAACGCATATTATATTGTGTACTTTATTGCATACTGATTATACCTTTATTTATATCAATATCACATAAGTCAAATTGTATTGTGTTAAAATAAAAAAAGACATCGTAGGATAATGGGGACGGTTGCAGCCACTGTTATAGGTATTTTAGTGTATATCTGTTAGCAACGATTAACCATTACTAACGAAAAAACGATTCTGAGTGGAGTTCAGTTAATAGTGATGCTTTTTCAACAATATATAATATATTATATTATGATAAAATAATTGAATAGGCATTATATATTATTTTTAATAATATTTGTTTAATGTACCGATTTTCCAGTTTTTCCTATGTTTTTCCTGGTTTTCTAATGTTTTTACCTAGTTTTTTACATTTGCTGGAAAACTTTTGAGAAAATAGAAAAATTACTTCCCTAAAGTACTTTCCTAGTAAAATTTCCTTTTAGAAAAACTACTATCATTATTAGTCTGAGCAAAATCGCTGGTAGAAAAGTTGTCTACAGAAAAAAAAAATCGTACTATTTTACAAATATTATATATTCCCGTTTTTCCTCTGTTTGTTTTGACTTTTCGCATTTGATGAGGATACTCTTGAGAAAATTGAAAAATGACAAATATGGTACAATTATAAAAATTAAAATATAATAATAATTAACTAATATAAAACATGTTGCGGTGTATAATAATAATATACAGAATCATTTTTTTTTTATTTAGAACCAACAATGGTCTTGGAGGATTTTAAGTGAATATGTTTTTTTTTTTTTTAATTTTTGTGGAATATTTTAAAACCATTTTTTCGCCCCTATTCCATATGCCTTAAATATAAGTACATACTTTTGTTTTTTAAATAGGAATTCCCTCTTTTTGAACACAGATTCGAATAAAAAATATTTTTTTAGAAATGTTCGTATGCATAACTCGAATATCAGATTTATCGTTTATGAGTTATATTTTTTTTATAGATCAACTTACAGAACACATAATATACCTGAATAGACGTAAAATGTCCAGAAACATTTTTTTTTTTTTTGTTATCTTGTAAAAATGCTCGGTTAACTACAAATCTTACAGATAATACTTATAAAAAATTATCTATAAACCTCGTGTTAAGTAAACAACAGTAAGTACTTATATAATACCATTTATTGTTTTCATTATCAGGTTTGATAATGAAATCCAACAGCTTCGCGTGTCTTCATCAGCAGGCGGCATACGAAGAACTGTGCACAAACCAGCCGATCTATAACAACGAAGTCGATATTCTCGATTACGAACCTTTTACTACTTGCAACAGTTACAGCCCGACAAAACCATTGAACGGCAAACGGCATAGCGCACCCAATGGCCGCGGTGACAGCGCTTTGTCGATGGGGTCGCTAAACAAGTCCACGATGAACGGCAGTAGTATGAGCAGCAGATCGAACAGCGATTCATCCGAGTGTTCCAAGAGCGAGGTAATCTACGTGTCCGCGAACGCGGTCAAGTATTCGGCGAGCAAATACGGGGCATTGATGAAGCGCGAGAAAATACTGTTCGTCGACCACACGAGAAAATACTGGGCTGCCGTATTGTCGTCCACTATGTACGTGTACAATGGCGAAAAAGAGCTCAAACCCTGTCAGGTCGTGCATCTTGAAGGGTACACGGCCAGGGACGCCAATGGGTCGAGTGGTAACCGAAACAAGGACTGGACATTCGAAGTCGTGTGTCCTGGTAAAAAAACATATCAGGTACTTATACATTTATAAGTTATAGCTAATTATTATATTTAATAATTAAGTTATATTTCCGGGTTTAAACAATAGAAATCAATATGAAATAAATTCGATTTAACATACTTCTCCATTCCCATTATTAACCCTATCGCAGTTAATCGCGGTTGTTATCCAGTAGTTAATCTTTTCAAAAGAGTACTTTCATTAAGGATTTACCAATTTTAATTTATAACTTCGAAAATAACAAATTTTTCTTCCTTAGAGGTGGATTTTTTTAAACATTTTAATACACGTGTTTTTGAATTTCTAAACAAAAGACCGAACATTAATTTTTATGAATCTTTTATAAAAAAATGGCTGATTTTCATGTGAACTTTCATTTCCTATTTTACCCCTTGAGGGCTTTATATTATCTTATTTTTCTAATAAAACAATGATTTGTATTGTCTTGTCTGAAATATCAGTTGTCGTCATAGAGTTTTCTTTACTACAATAATGAGGAGTAGTAGGTATTTAAAAATATTCGGCCCACCCGCCGAAGGTAACCTTTGTTCCATATTTATAGATTATTTTCTTTCATTTTCTCTTTATAAAGGTCTATTCCTGTCACTTCATATGTTCGTGATAAGCTGATTGTTGTCTTCATAAAGTTTTTCCTTGACTTGACATCATTTTTACACAAGGGATATTCTATGTCGGATTCATTTTTTGTTTTCTCTACCCTTACTGATAGATACCTCTCATTGTATATTTGAGGATGCTATCCCACATAACACTTGTACTTTCCCGACTGGGATTACTTATTTTTATAACACGTGTAACTTATTCCGTATTATTACTATCTTTTGTATTATCGCACATTGCAGTTTATAGCTCAAAATCAAAATGACATGCACTCCTGGATCGAAGCCATTAACAGTTCCAGCAGTAAACCATCCACTCCGGAAATTGCACTCTCGCCGTCACCCATTTGTTTCAAACAGGACCTGTTGCCTAACCGAGAACTTCCCGTCCCGCCAGCCGCTGACGATCGTACCATACAGGATTATTGTTACGACAAGCCCAATCCAATTATCAGGCCTGTAAATCTGTACGAAAACGCTGTGGACGAAGTGGACACCGAGTCCATTTATCAGTTTATCGACGAATCCAAACGCGAAAATGACATTATTTTACCAAAGGTTCACGTCACTATAATTGTTGTGGTTATTATTATAAATAGTGTTAATTCGATATTATTATACAGATTGACAAACAGTTTTGGGATGGCGACACGTCCTATTACAACATCCCTAGTAACATACCTGTGCCAGTACAGACCAAAGAAGACGATAATAACAACAACGACTACGATGATTATTTCTCCGAAAAGGAAGCCAACTACGATATTATAACAAGTACGTTTTCGGGAGTTCTTTGCTATATAATAATAATAATAATAATAATAATTTTTATCCGCTTTGATTTCAGATGAAGAGTGTGAGGTGATTGCGGACCCTGTTTTGGGCGTTCAGCAAATAATCCAAAAGATTGAAGAGATTAACAACAAAACGACATTACCGTTTTTAAGACGAAAATCGCAACCGATAAAGAGCAATAGTCTAATAAGAAACTCTACCCCAGTGTACACCGCTGCGGACGAATTTTACGAGCCCATGAAAGTGACGAAGAACATACCCAATAATGCCGTTGTCAGTTCCCAATCTTTCCGGAAATCTCGTTGAAGTGATGCCAATATATTTTTTCTTGTTGTGGAAAAATATTCTCATTCTACGATATCGTCAATTGTCATCGACCACTTTTGTTTAATTTTCTTAAACGTTCGACGGCTCCATTGTGTAATATTTACACAATACATACGCATTTAAAAACTCAACTACTGCGTGATTGTAATGAACTTACGTCAAATCATTATAATAAAAAAAAGTCACTCAAGAAATTATTAGAATTTTAATAATTTTAATAGGTATTCTATCTTAAATTTAAAATTAACTTTCTCCTATTTTGACAAGTCTGCTTATCGGTAGAAATCCTGTTTAAAAACCGAACATTAGGAATTTAGAATATTAACATTGTATATGTATAAAACCAATTAAACATGAAATGCTACTTTTATGTTTCTAGTCTGTAGGTTTTAAACAATTATTTTTATTTTGTTAATAATTTTTTTTTTTTAAATAGTTTTTAGATTGAAAGTTTTGATAACCTACATGAATATTATCAGTTAATTAATTAATTATTTATAATTATTTTTTTTTTTTTTAATATAAATAAACATAAACAAAAAAAACTATACATTCCGAGTTTAAATAAACTGTACAATAATAAATTATTGTCAGATCTCTTATATTTATGATCTTAGGGTAGGCCACCCTATACAAATATGTCATATGCTTGTCCGTCCTTTGATAATAAATCATTCATCAAACAAGGTTAATTCATATTGTGACTTTTATTTTTGTTACTCATCCGATAATATCTTACAGTAGGTACCTATATGTTTATATACTATTTAAAGTATTTAAATTTTAAAACTGTTATGAATACAAACAACAATAACCACCATTTATTAATCAAACGTGTTAATGTAAAATATTCAATATAGTAATTTGTGTGAATTAATGTATTATAATATGTAAGTATAATATAAGCAATTAATTTAAATTAAAACTCGTTTTACTTTTTATAGATGTTCCATATTGCTTTGCTTAATAAATATTTTCAAATATCTATTTGATTATTTTTAAATATAACTAATTTTATACAAACATTTTAAGAATTATGTATTTAAATTATTTACCTTTGTCAATAATATTGAAATAAAAATTATATACAATTTTTATATAGATATATTTATATATACTAATATGTGCAAATTTCCCAATATATTGATTTTGTTTTATTCAAAACAATACTTATTCGTAAACTATTAAAATCGTCAAGGTTTTTTTTTAGATACCTAGGTATCTACAGTTAAAAACTAATAATGAAATTTAATTGGTAACTAAAGAAGAAAAGGAATAGCACCTACCTAGTAGGTATTGGATATAGTACTCTCATAGACATCTACATAATTTGCGTGTACTATTTAAGTTGACTTTTAAATCGAAAACGTTTTATGTTTTTTATCTTTAATTAATAGAAATAAACCTTGAATAGTATATCAAAAAAGCTCATTTAAAAAGTCAATGTTATCATATTAAAATTAATGTAATTTACATATAAGATACATTAAATTTTAAAATAGTTTATTTGGTACGTACTTAATTTGTAGTATAAATAAATAAAAATACATGTTATGTAGATAGTTAAAAAATAGTTAAACATTACTCTAGTTTTAACAATAATATTTTTCAGCTAATTTTCATGTTATTTGCTCGTTGAAATTAATTATTGCAACTCACAATGCTTACTAATTCAATAGAATTACTTTCTACTAGACTCAATTGTTTGCTGTCTTCCTTATCTTAGTTTGTTCTCATGTAGAAATGTCCAACGTACAAATTGAGGTTTATACGTAATATGCCTGTGAAGAAATACATCAGCATTGTTTTTATTACATATTTCAAAAAAAACATAGGTACACAATTTTCTTGTTTTAAAAAATTAAAAAACCATATAACACGAAATTCGTATAAAATAAAAAAGTATATGTCAATTTTTTTTAGTGTTATTTAATTATAGTCTGATATTTTTATAGAAAATATAGGTAATAGATGAATTTATTAAATTTTCACAGTTCACAATGCACTTCATTAAAGTTTTCACTTTACAACTATTAATTTTTCGTAAGTTGTGGACTGAGAGACGGGATATTTTGTGGGTTTGGGAAGTGTAACTATTAGGTATGACATTTTCAAAATTAAGCCACTAATTGTAATAAACTTAGTAACTGCACACTTTTCTATACTGCAAGGCATATAAAAAAAATATGAATAAATAAGAAGAAAAAATAACAATAATAATAGCTACTGTTGTGCACAAAGCACAATTATAAATCCTAAATAAAATGAATACATACATGAGTGAATTAACATTTTTTTATTATTATTCTAGAACTAAATACATGATATTTATTTTATATTTTGTTGATAATTAAAATATTATATAATATTTAGTTTTATTTCTAAATACATATCAGCTGATATTCAATAATATTATATAAACTAAGACTAATAATATTTACCTTTTTACCACGTTTTACTACATCATAACAAAATTATATTAGAAATGAATATTATTTAAACGCTATACGACTTTATATTTACATTTTATAATGTAATGTAATAAAAAATAAATAATTTAAATTTGTATTAAATTATTTTTACCCTTATACTATACAAAATATAACATTATAACTGTGGTGTTAAAGATTTCTTTAGAAACATATTGGATAATTCATAAAATTAAATTATTTGCAATAGATATTTAGCATAAAAAAAAAAATATGAATTTACAAATTATAATACTACAAATCTAAATTTACGTATCAATTAAATGCGTGTACATATAAAATACCTATTTTATTTATTAGATTAAAATGTTATAAAGAATATATGGTGTTTACCTTTTGAAACAAATTATGTATTAATATTTTTAATTTTTAATTTCAATAGTTAATAAAGCCCTGTACGGGCTTTATATTTCAAGCCCGAGATCTCCCAAAATAAAAAATTTACTGGCCTAGCTCATTCAATTATGTTGAATGTCATACGTGCCGTCCCAAATTATTTTACTTAAATATAATACAACCCAGCCCAGATTCATTTATTAATATATCCTACCGCGATTATATGATATGACCAATAATTTAAATAGACATTTAAAAAATATCTCTAATAAATATTTCTATTTGTACATATATTTGAATATGACACGTAACAATCTAACAGACTGGCTATCAAAAGACCCGTTAAACTATTTTTATTTTATTTGATTATCTATACCCCAAAATTTTAATTCACTAAAAGCAAATGGAAAACGATGGACATATTTTGCACGATGGGTGAGCCACTATTGTAGTAAGAAGTTTGGTAGGTAGTATATAGGGAAGAATTTAATTTATATCTGTAAGCAACGATAGACCATTGCTAACGAAAAAACGATTCTGAGTGGAGTTCAATTGATAATGTGGCTTTGTCAACAATACAATTGGTAAGTCATATTATAGTAAAATGATTACAATAATGCATGTTTCCATAACAACAAAGATTGTTTAAAAACAGATTAAAAAAATAAAAACTTAATAATAACAAAAAATAAATAAAAACGGTTGCCAATGATAACCTTATTTTTAATCTTTTAATCTTTTTAACTTAATGACCGAGGTTTTCTTCATTATCTCAAATTTCAATGAGAATTTCAAAAAATTACCTCTCTAAAATTACCCAGAGAACATTTTCTTTCAGAAAAAGTGCTATACTTGATAATTGGAGTATGCTTTCTGGTGAAAAGTGTTCACATAAAAAAAAAAAAAAATAAACATCATTGTAAACCCAATACATTCCTCGCTCCACTCAGAATTTAAAAAAAAATATAAGGTACATTAAATTAAATTTTTTTTTACTACAAACGAATGACTTATAATGAATCTCTTGTTAAATGTCCATGCATTTCTATTTAGTTTAACAATATTATTCACAGAGTTTCTACCAAATAAAAATTATGTAAAAAAAACTAACAAAATTAGAATATCTATAAATATCTCAAAAATGGCATAACTATTTTGCAAATTTTACCACGTCTAGATAAGACAAATTTAAGTTTACAGTTCAAATTTCAGATCTTTACAAATACTTTTAACTGAGTTACAAACTAAATAGTAGAAAACTAAATTTTCCCTTTTTCCCTACGTATTTTTCTGAATTATTATGAAAACCGCTTGGAAAATCAAAATATAACTTTTCAGAAAAAGTGCTACACTTGATACATGGAGCAAGATTTCTAGTAGAAAAGTTGCTCACAGAAAAAAAAATAAACATTATCGTAAAACCAATTCATTCCACGCTATCCTTCGAATTAAAAAATTACATTTGTTAAAGAGTAAAATTAAATTTATTTAATTTTTGTTTGGATTAGCTTGAATTATAAATGATACGTAAGCCTGGCTTGGCTATTTCGTATAATTAGTTGTTTTTTGACCCAACCCAGCCTGGAAAACTGAGTTGTCACTTAGTACAGGGCTTTCTGGCCTGAATAAATAACACAGAGTAAACTGGCTCAGCCCGGCCCGTGTAGGGCACTAGTAGGTATCTAAATATAATAAATATTAATATATGTATACGTGCTGTTAACTATACACTTAGTTAAGGTTTGTAGATTCTTAGGTAAATAAATTACATATTTATCTATAGATTCTATTTACTGTTTATTACCTATATAATATCTGCGGGTCTGCTACTTCATAATAATAATTTAATAAATAGGTATCTATTTAAATATATTTTATAAATTCATAAATGAATAGTATTAATGATTATTCTTATAATCACAAATCTAAAAAATTTAAATAAAATACTAGAACATTTATAGACAATATAATTTGACTGTTTTACATATTGCGAGTTCAACAATTAAAAGTAGGTAACAAAGAATATTCTGAATAAATAATCTTAAATTTAATTTTAATTAAAGATTGTATAGGTACGTAGTAGCTACATCTATACAAATTTATTTTTATCTATTTATTTTGTTAAAGTTAAATAGATATATTTTCTATGCATAGCTGGCAATTTTTTCCAAGCGAGTTTGAATATTTGTTTACTTTTATTTGAATTTAATTTGAAATGTCACATGTCTAATAATTTTATGTTATATTTACACGTTCAAAATTAAATTAGATAAATGAGAGCAAGTTTAATTCAATTTGTATTTTAATGCAATTGATTTTGTCACTAAAACCAGAATCAAATTCAAGTTTATTTATTCAGAAAATTTTGTATTATTCATAAAAAACTATCAGGCATCAATATAACATTACAAAATATACCTATATAATATCTATACTTAATTTAATATACATCTATCAATATCTAGAACGACTAAAACACTGTTCAAACATAACATTTACGAAAAATAATATTTTACTTATATAATATTATTATTGCAATTTATATATCTATGTATAAAGTTAAACAACTTATTTAAATATAATCTAATAGGAATGTTTATTTATTTATATTACCCAGAATAATTATTATGGAAATCAAATCCATTATTATTATAATACATTACTTGTCTACAGTTACTGTTCAAAGTATAATAATATTATTTTCTCAAATTACTACTTATAATTTATATTATATTTTCCAAAAAAATGGAAATACATTTTATATATTTATATATAATGCTAAAATTCTAAAATATTTGTCTGTATACAACTAAAAAGTACCCATCTATAATTGACATATTAAAATATTTGATACAATTACATAAGTATGTACCAATCTATAAAGAATTACCTATATTCATAATACAAATCGAAGATATTTGTAGAGAGAATAATGATAATAATATGAAACATATACACAACATACATGATACATCCACTCTATTTGTATGATTTGTATAGATATTCATAAAGTAAAATTTTCAGATTATAAGTACCAAGATTGTAGGTAGCTGACAGAAATTTGTTTCGAAGAGAGAAAAAAGATGAACAGTCATAGGGATAATCTAATTATTCCTTCTATTTTTTATGGTAATCAATTTCATTATTTATAGTAAGTACGTAAATGCATACTATGAAAATATTCAAATTAATATAATTTTCTTCCATGTTGTCCAACTAAATAAAAATTCTATTTTGAAAAAGGAGTAAGTAATTATAGTAATTACTTTTTACCATGCAAAATAATAGTGTGCAGTACTAACAAAGAGGGTTTTTATGTTTATTTTTTTGTTTATAATGAATACAAAAAGATGGATAGTTTATTTAAGAATTTTTTTTTTTTAGATTCGGATTATTAGAGCCATTTAATTTATAAAAATAGGTATTTTATAATAACTATAGGTAACTCGCCATGTAAAAATGTGTAAATACACTATTATATACGTCTACTTACAAGTACTTATGGTGAATCTGAATCACTTTACATGAACATACATATACATACAAACACAACACACACACACACACCCATATAATATATTAACATAAAATACTTTTGGTAACTCATGTTATTTTACCGATTGCGTTATTTATACTTAACAATATAGTGTAAAATAAAGCAATTTATATTAAATGTTTAACGTCATAAAACTTCTAAAAATATATCTAACCAACAAATGAAACATTCATAAAGTATTTCATCAAGATGATCTATTTAATATTTAAAAGATTTATATATAGAAATGTGTATATAAATTATAATATTATATACCTACCTATTCATATTTAATTTGAGTGTATGTATTAAGAAAGAGACAGAGTGAGAGGGATACAGAGAGAAGATTAAAAATATCGATTGTATATTTCTTAAAGAATACTACGCAAATGGTAAAAACGTAGTGAACAAGAAAGAAAATAAAAATAATATTATCTCGAGTATATAATATAATGTAAAATCCGTTATTGCATATTTGAAATAATGGTCCCGATCTCATTTGCGTAGTATTCCCATCAGACTTAATATTAACTCAGTGATTGTATCATTTTTAGTTATAAAATGAACCCTTTTATTTTTAATTGTATGGAGTTTAAATGAAAAACGACCCTCGAAGTTTAGCTCTCAATGGATGGGTATATTGAGTGTGATGTATAACGTTGACTGGTTGTTTTGTTAGGTTTGCTAACATGCACGCTAATGACAGTTCCAAAATTCGTATTACACTTTGTACGACAAGCCAGCACCATGGTTTTTGATATGAATAAACTCCTAAAAACAATAAATCATAAGTGAATAAATTATTTAATGTCGATATAATTTACTAGCATACACATTTAGTAAATAACTGGTATTAACAGCCAATAGGTAGATCGTAGGTATATTTTAATTTAAAAAATATTCTTAAGTTCTGATAATAATATTTATGCATGCCAGTAGGTAGGTATTAAATTTATCCATTGACTATCCAGGAAAAGGTGCATTTCCCCTTAGATTTTCGAAAAAAATTTCAAATTTAAAAGTAATGGTATGTTAAATGGTTATCATTATAAATTTTTCCTTCCCTAAAAAAATTTGTATGGGCGCTCGAACTATCAATAATAAGAATATATTTAAATTTACAGAACCTGTATTATTTGTAGATATGATTGTATCATTGGATAAAATATAGCCTCTCAAATTATTTGAGTTCATAAATATAACAAAATACCCGATACCTAAAAATTATTTCTGAAATAAAATATAAATATCCAAAATAAATTGTGTGGGGGTTTTTGTAAAAATTTACATTTTTGAAGACGCGGAACTTATTTTAGAAAACCAGTATTATTTACTGTCTCGGCCGGACCTTAATAAATAAATATCGGGAAACATGTCGAAAACCGGTAGTGTCCCAGCTAAATCAGGAAAAATGGCAGCCCTAGATTAGCCATTAAAAAAATATTACTTAGTAAAAATATTAAAAAAATGTTACCTATTAAAATCAAATTGTTTTTAAAAATTGTGTGTAGATAGGTACTGTACACGTATATACTATATACTACTATAATAATTTAATACCTATTTACCAATCAAATTTATATCCGTTGCAAAATTAAAGAAGCATAATAACATAGCAAGTCCTGCACAGACATGCACAGTTTTTATCACCAAAACAATTTCAGATTTAGTGATTGCGACCTTTGAAGCACGTCTTCTAACATTTTCCATTTTAGCATCTCCCGTTCCATTTCCTCGATTCACAAATGCTATGTGATTTAATATTGTACTTAAATTCATTTCAGAACTCTAAAATAACATGCACAGAATCGCATAAAATATATTTGTGAATAAATAAAATAAAATAATATAGTATGTAATTAGCACTAACTAAATCTGAAAAACTACTCGAATGCCTGGTTGTAGGTCTGGTTTCCTGATCAGCTTGTCCTGTAGACTTGAGTCTAAAACTTCTTTGGGGCTGAATACAAAAAAATATTATAATGAGTTATAAATTACGTTTCAAAAACGTGTATACAATGTGTTTTACTTGTAATGGAGTAAGTAACGATGATGAAGTTGTTGGTGAAGTATCATTTGCAGTGCTCGATTCTCCAGTTTTTGGAAATTGCCATGATATTGATTTAGCAAAACTTTTTCGCCATGAACTTTCTTCTGGTTCAGTATTGTCACTAGTATTATTGTTAGGACTTAATGCCAGAAATTGTTTACTCCCTTCCACACAACTTAGTCGCTCTAAAAAACATTTAATAGTTTAACCATTATAATTATTATATTATTAAAATTAATTAATTACTTTGGATGATATTTTGAACTTCACTGGACCTTCTTGATGGCGTAGTTGGACTTAACAATGATCCAGATCTTTTTTGTCTTTGCACAAAACTGCTAGCTCTCCGATTCATTCTATTAAAGCTATTTGCTACTTCTGATGGTGCTGTTATTTTGACAGCTAAATGATAATTAGAAGAAAAATATAAATAGTTATTACTTGATGGTAAGGTACTTTATTTAATATTTTTATTTTTATCAATCTTACTAGGTTTATCTTTTGAATCTGATTTTGATTGGTGTGGAACTAAAAGTGCTGGAACTAATGCGGCTGCCATAGAGGTAGCTAAGTTATTGTATGGTGCTAATATCCCTAATTGCATTATACCTACACAAGATTATAGATATAGGTATCAAATTTTAGTGTTAGTCATTAATTGAAATGTTTTTTTGTTTATACATAAATACCTAGGTATTTAAATATGATTTTTTATCCATTATCAAATTTATAATACCTAAGTATTTTAAATTGTTCTTATGTAGGTATAAAGTAATATTAAACCATCAAATATTAGTAAGTATTTAAAACTAATAATTTAATAAACTTATGAAATATTTTTGTTTTTATTGTTTTACACTTACCCTTGTGTCTTGAATCAAAATTTTGTAAGACTGATTTTGGCATGCGTTTAACGAGCGTCATTACTTTGATTCCCAAATAAATGAAGAAAGAGCATATCCAAATACCCCAAATATGTAATAGAATACGCACTGCGTTCCCTAAAACCTGATTAAACAACCATTTATAAAAGTACAATATATTTAATTAATAAGTCATATTTGTTAGATATCTCAATATAATAAGTACCCATAATTTATTATCCACGGCTGCAACTATATCTGCTGGAACAAGAACACCAACAGTTAATACAGTAGCTGTTACTACGACCGATTTTCGTCTCATATTTGAAGGTCCTGCTTGTAACTAAATCAAAAATGATATTTTAAAACTAATTTTTTTAATTGGTATTACTAAAAATGTAATTCAAACTGACTTGTGTTAATTGCAAATAGGCTAACAGTAATAATGATAGAGCTGTCACTAAGCTGCATAAGCCTAGATCCCATGTCAAATGTGTGACAACGGATGGGATATTCTGTAAAGTAGATGAATTAAGTATATATCACATAAAACATTGACATAAACTTACCCGTCTTGTATTATATGGGTCGACAAATAACACAAATGCCCTACAAATACCAGTTGCTAATAATAATACATTAATTGCTGTCATGTATGGTTTTTGAGTGGTCGTTTGTGATCTATAATTAAATTTAACACAAATATATTAGAATACTATTCAAGAATTACCTATATATTTGCAGCTTGCACTAGGTACAAAGAATATGTCATAATGCTTATTGTCAATCTCATTGATGTGTATTTTGTAAATAAAATAAAGTTTATACATTTTAAATAAAAATGCATACTAATTGTCAAATATGTTTGAATACGAGTATATTAATATGAAGTTTTGAAATTTAAAATATAAATTCATGTAAATTGTTAAATACTTTTACATAGATATAAATGTGTAGTCATTCCATGCACGTTTTTATAGAAAATATTTCAAAAGTGGATTTTATTTACGTTCAATATCATTAATTAAAATTTCTCATTTTTTTTTTTTTTTTTTTTTTTTTTTTTTACAAGTTTTAATTATATAAATTATAAATGTAAATTGATGTTTTAAGTTCTTAACAAAGTGAGGAAGCTATATTAGTTCTACTTGGTGTTTTAACTAGGCAAAAGGTTTATTACTTCTTTGTTCAAGAATACAAATTAAACATTAATAATCTTTGAGGATATTGCACATTTTAACTTTTAAGTAAGTACCGACCTCGTTATTAGTTACTAATAAAAAAAACCTTGTAAAAATGTAATGCAATTTAATATAAGATAAACCATAGATTCACATAGGTACTCCAAACCACATTTTACATTTTCTTGATAAAATTCCTTTATTTAATAGACAATATATTTTACTTAATTTATTTATTTTTAAAATTAATTTTATCGTCTTGTTCTAGTCAGTAAAAGGGCACCAGGGGTGATAAAACGGAGTACAAGTATCCCCTAATAACCATTTACCCTTCAATATTATTATTATATTAATTGTATTAATTAAAACAAAATTTAACTTTATATATATATAAAAAAAAATGTATATTTTACAAATTATTAAAAAATGTCATCCTGATTCCTCCCCTAATAACGAAACTATTTACCCGTACTGTTTGGTTCCTAGTACCTACTACCTACCTACCTGCATTCCATGAAATGTAAGCACACTGTTATCAACTAATCTTAATGGTATACTTAAGTTAAATATTATACAAATTTACCTGATATTTAATATGGAAAATACAGCATAAAATGATAAAATAAAAAAGAGGCAAGCAAATCCGTATGAGTGTATATTAAATGACCACACAAGTTGATCAACGCACACCTTATCCCACGTAGGGTGCGGTGAATGATCGATTGAATTAATCATGTTACATTTCTTCCACATTTTAGAACTAAACTTGTCCAAATTCTTAATGAGGCCTAAAATAAAAAATAATAAACGTTAATATATGACGTAATACAGTGACATGACAATAGTATTATTTAAGGCCTATAGCCCAAGATATTTTAGAGTAGTGGTGGTGGACGAGTATGTGATAGATCCCAAATTTCAGGAGAATGAAATATAAATTGATTATTTGTATCAAATTAGTGATATTAGTTCTTTTACGAACGTATAACTTCATAATGTCATTTGAATAGTCATGAAGATCAAAATGCATAAAAATAATTAGATGTTCTGTATTCAATTGTAATTAATAATCATATACCTAAAGGTATAGATAATAAAATGGTAAACTAAGTATTTTATTTATGTAAATAGGAATTTATATTCATACAAATTATTTAAATTTTAGATTCTGAGCGGAAAGAGGAATATATTGGTTTTATAATGATTATATAATTTTTTTTTCTGTGAAAAACTTTTCTACCGGTTATTTTGATTTGATATCAAAATGCAATACATTTTCTGAAAATAAATTTTACTTAACCTAACCTAACCTTTTGATTTTCCCATAGATTTTCATAATAAATGGGAAAAACGGGAAATTTTATGAAATGTAATATTTTAAAATCATAAATATTACGGTCTTTCTAAACATGTATAACCAAACTCTGCTCAGAATCGCTTTTTGAAAACGATGATTAATCGTTGCATACCAATATACATTAAATTTCCCCTCTACCTTTCAAATTGCACACCTACAACAGTGGCCCACCCATTGTGCGAAGGTTTGTTTTTTTAATGAAATTATTTTATGTTTGTTGGACAACAATTATTACTAATGCATACATGAACATTCATTTATACAATAACTTTAAAATATTTTTTATATAATCATTTGGTGGACATTGACACAAGTCATCAGGAATCCCGACTCAGATACGTTATTTTCTACATTGCTACAGATTAAAAATAACACTGGGGCTAACACATCTTTAATCGTGTACAATCGCTATCGATTAAATATTTATAATATGTCATTAACCTAAGATCTCAATAAAAAAAAAAAAAGGAAAAAAAGCTGTCCTAGGATAATGAGGACGGGAGCAGCCACTGTTATAGGTGAGAAGTTAGGAAGGTAGTAGAGGGGAAATTTAATGTATATCTATAAGTAACGATAAACCATTACCAACGAAAAAACAATTCTGAGCGGAGTTCGATTGATAGTGTTGCTTTGTCAAAAATATTTGTTTAATATTGTAGGTATCTAATTTCCCATGTTTTTATTCCGGTTTTCCCATTTATTATGAAAACGGCTGGGAAAATTAAAAAATGACCTCCTTAATGTATCTCCCCAGACTGATTTCCTTTCAGAAAAAGTAGTATCATAGTTAATCGGACAAAATTGTTGGTAGAAAAGTTGTTCACAGGAAAAAAAAACATCATTGTGAAAACCAATTAAATAAATAAATCCCTCATTCCACTTAGAATCTAAAAAAATGATTAATTGCTGAAAACTTACAATTTTCTAAACATTTTACCACTATAATGATAAAACAATTGCCACTCTAAATCAAATGTTCAGATATTAAAATTTAAATCACTTGTAAAATTAAACCCCCGGTTAAATTTTACAGAGTCAATAATCACTGGTACAAGACTAGTTCTACCTATTAATTTTATAGTTTTAATTTTAAAAAGAAATCCCTTACTCCTCTGTTAAAAATAACAATAATTTGGTTGTTTTGTAGGTTAAAATAATTTTGGTGTAAGTTTTCATGCTCAATATAACAGACACATTAAGCTTTTGTTCAGTTGGTTGATCACAGAGGGTTCCCTAAAGGGGTTATTTTATTAATTTTTCGGTTCAATGCCCTGGAAATTTTAATTAATTAAAATCATATGGTAAGAGGAAACATTACAAATACAAGCTCATATTTAAATTTAAATTTTTAACCTTTTTTAGAATAGTTTTTTCCGGAAGCTTAGTTATCGAAAAGTGTTTTAAATTCTGAGTGGAGCGAGGAATATATTGGTTTTACAATAATATTTATTGTTATTATTTTTTTTTTTTATGGAGAACTTTTCTACCAACAATTTTGCTCTAATTTACAATTATTGCACTATTTCTAAAATGAAATCCGATTGGGATGGTACTTTAAGGAGGTCATTTTTTGATCTTCCCTAGAGTTTTTAAAATAAATGAAAAAAACCGACGGGAAACCTGGTAAAATCTAGGAAAAACAGGAAAATAGGTACAATATTAAACAAATATTATTACAGAAAATATATAATATAATTATTTTACCATAATATGACATATTATAATATATTGTTGACAAAGCAATACTATCAACTGAACTCCGTTCAGAATCGTTTTTTCGTTAGCAATAGTTTATCGTTGCTTATAGATATACTTTAAATTTCCTTAGTGTTAACTCCCATTTGAAATAGATAGTATAATAGAAAGCTTGAAAAAAAAAATGTCAATCGTATTAATTTTTTTTTTTTAAATAATATCAGTCTGTAAGTTGTGATATATTAATACATTATAATCCAATAGTCAATTTAAAATAATACTCATAAGACAGTATATATATCCGATTTCCCACCTCGCATACATCGGTTGTTTTCATATCATTCTCAATCGCATCCGACCTCCTCTTTTTCGGTCTTCCTATCCATCTCTTTTCTCCTACGTTTATTTTCATTACAATTCATGTTACTTTAGATTCCTCACTTCCCTTGCAGACATGCCCAAGATTCAAGACTTCTAAAATGAACTAAAAAGTAAATAATAATTGAACTTGTTTATACAAATATTTTTTTGCGTATTTATCTTGATAACATCGAAATTGAATAAGGGTATAATAAATGATAATATATATACATCTAAGCATGTGGCGTTTTCGGCAAAATATGAAATAAATAAAAAAGTTAATGAAAAAAAGTGAGTACCACAATCGCGCTTGGAGCCCTTACCACAAGTAACTGTATGAGAGAGACTTCTTTAATACGTGAATAGCGACCCATGTTTAAATGTATGCATGTTATCATTTACTATACCTACTCTTATTAAATTTCGATATTTTTATGATACATACGTAAAAAAATATTTTTATTAACATTTTCCATTTTTATTTACTAAGTAGTACGTTTATAAGTATTGTACACTATTTTATATGATGGCATGTTAAATTAAATAATGTAAAGAAAATGTAGTCTATTTATATGCACAATTATTATAATAGTTTGGCACGGCGGTAGGTACTTTAATTAAAAATGTACTTATACCTACCTGTACATTCTATTTTGAGAAACATTGATTATAACGAGACCGTTAATTAATTTATATCAAATAGTATAGGTATTGTAATGTTAGTGTAGCCACCTGTACTATTGTAGTGTATTTATTGAGAAACCATATTCTGATGCATATTATTAATGGTGTGGTATTACATAAATTTATTTTGTCACGTGTATTTGCAATATTCTTTTGTTTGATTGAAACGGGATAATTATTTGGGTTCGCTGAGTTTTCAAGAGAAAACTACAGAATACCTAAAGTTACGTAATCGATCTCATGTCAGTATTTGACATTCATAAAGGAAAACTTTTCGGGAAGCTGTATAAAATACATGTATAATACAAGGTATAAAGTTGTGGATGTGGAATTATGTTTCTATAAATAATTTTGAAAATTGTACCTAATAAAATTCATGGAGCATAATATTATTAATTCTGTAACAACATAATATGTTACTTATATAAATTAGCCTACTGTCTACTGATGATTCATTATTGCAATGCATATGATTAATTAGCTTATTATTAGATTATCTACAGAGTGATTCACTTATTAAAAAACATCGATTTTTTTGGAAGTTATTAGTACCTAAATTTAATTTCCGTTTTTTTGTTTTCATTTTTCAATCATTATGGAACCGTTTAAGCTTTATTTAACACTATTTTTTCAATTTCTCCTCCTAGTCCATATACCTAAAATGTGTATAAACTTTGGATTTTTAAATAGCAACTCTCCTTCCCTTTAAATACAAGTATACAATAATTTTCTAAACATTTTTATTTAACTAATATCGGATTTACCGTTTATGATAAAATTTATATTTTAGACCGAAGGAGTAGAGAAGGGTTATAAATTGATCGTCTAAAATGGATTTGAAATTTATTACCCTTCCTACTAATCCGGTCTAAATTTTAAACTGTTATAACTCATAAATAGTAAATCCCATATTAGTTTTAAATACATTAAAATGTTTAGTGCAGTTAAATTAATTTAAAAATATAAAGTACTTATTTTGTGTGTTAAATCTGTGGAGGTTTCTATTAAAAAAAACAGAAATCAAATTCGCTTAAAATCTTCAGAGATAATTTCTGTTTCATAATTATTAGTGAATCACTCTGTATAAAGTATATAAGTTGCGAATACTGTAATGTAATATACTAAGTATACACTAAGTAATTGCATGTAAACTTTATAATATATAATTTAATGTATTAGATACTGTATTTAAAACTTTTGATTTTTAAAAGATTACTTACTGATTTGTAAATGAAGTGTAAATTAATGAAAAATCAAAAATATGAATGACACATGAATGGGTACCAACATGCATTGACGCATTATATAATGAATACTAATTAGTAGTATAGAACTGTGTCTTGACTCCATAATGTTAATATATAAAGTTTTGTAACAATGATTTCGTTTCGGTTATCCTAAATATGATTAATACAACCGAATTGACTTTATCAAAAATATTCAATTGATGTCCGTTATAAATAGGTGAATATGATATTAATATTATAAAAATGAATGATATTATTCTAGGTATTCCTTAAAATTATACATTTCTAAAAACTCTTCATATATTATACAACAGGCATGCATATGCACATGACTGGTTTAAAAAGTAAATTTTTGAATAGGTAACATTTATTTTTTTTTTTAGCGATTTAAAATACACAAAATAGAAAACTCATAAACAATAAACAAAAAAAAACCAAAAATTGCATTTATCCATTAGACATTTTATTACACAATATATGGGCATTGTTGCTAAAAAGTAAAAACTTGTATCCGAGTATGAACATCCAAAGAGTCCTTACCCTTAGGTAATGTTCATGATAAGTATTCTTTTAAAAGTTTAAGAATAACAAAATAAAGTTTAAATTCAGCAGAAATTAGATACCCGAAATATACTATACTTAAATAGGAAATCATTATTATTTGAATAATCAAAAGTACAAAACAGAAAAGATAGCTAGGTATATAATATGTAGGTAAATAACAATGTGTATTGTACATTATATGATTTTTTTACCTCAGTGTACTTATATACCTAATATATTTGTATTTTAATTAGTAGGTATTTATATTATTATTTTTAAACTTGAATTTAAATTTATCATAGTTGAAAAACAATTTTGAAAATAAATATTGTGTGTGCTACATGTTGTAAATAGGAAGTTGGAAATATAAGATAAAAAAAGTTATTTTTAAGATTTTTTAAATGTTATAGGAGGCTCACTATTATAGATACTCATATAGTTATAATATTACCAAACTTTTGCCATATATTCCTTATAGTCCAAGTTTTTTAATCTTATGGGAGGCTGCAGCACCCAAGTTCCTCTTTTTTCTAGGTTTTCCCTATTATTGAAAAACGACACGGAAAATCAAAAACCGACTTTATACTCACTTATAAGATACAAAATTTTCTCTCAAAAAATATGCTACTGTTTGATTTTTGGTAGAATAAAAAAATGGTAAAAATTTAAAATAATTTAATAAGTAAATATTTGTCAGTTTTTCCTATACGATTCTTTTCAGTTTTCCAGTAATTATGAAAAATCGCTTGAAAAATCAAAAAATGACTTTCTTATTGCACCTGCAAGATTCAAAATTCAGCAAAATAGATCTCTTGTCATTTTTTAATTGGAGCAATATTTCTGAAAAAATAGTTACTAAAAGCCAAAAAAACTGCATAATTAGTAAAACAATATTCCTAGCTCCGTTTATAATCTAAAAAAACATAAAATTTATGTACACGAATTTTTAATATATTTATAATATTTTAAATTGTTATTTATTATTTCTGAGATAACCCAAACTAATTCATTAATTTGTTTCATCATTCATTTTGGTATACAACGTTCTAAAAGGTTTTCTCGGTCATTAAAAATACTGCATAAAAAGAAAAAAAACTTCAAGCTATATTAAAAATAATCAAAAAATGCATCAGCTATTTTATTAGTTTTACAATGATGTGTGCTATATAATTAATTTATATTTTTTAGAAAAACAAGCAAACTAATTTTATCACAAAAAACCTTTGATTAATTATTTTTTTTTTAAGCTATGAGGTAAATTAGTAATGTGACGTAGGTACCTAATCCGAAACTCTCGGCTTAGGAATTGATTCAATCCTTGTATGTATAGGTACAGATATTTTATTTGTTAATTTTTGTTGTTGTTGGAGTAATAAAGTATCGTTTTTATTATTATGTATAAAAGTAGTACATGGTATAATATATAGCATCAGGATTATAAATGATTTATGAGGTAGGTAACTAAAATTCTGTAATAATATCCTTTATTTTTGTAATTTATAAGTTACCTAAGGGTCGTGCGTAGGCATATACGGGTATAATAAAATTTTTTTAACAACACTATATGGTATCATGTTACATGATATAATATTGAAAATATTGATTAGTATATGTAGTTATAATTCGGTGGGTATCAAAAATGTAATATAAAGTTTAATAAACAGTAGATATACCTATACAAGGAGTATGTAGGTTATTTCATTTTTTATAACACCAATTATTATGAACTATTTATTTCCTAATTGTATAACAATTACGATCACGTTTTTAGATAGGCATTGGTAATGCTTTCAATAGTTTAAACATACGATCCCCATTACCAGTTATAAAAATTCAAAAATACTTTTAAAAAAATCATATTTAAAAAAGAGCTGATACTACTAATGGGTGTGCCACTGTTAGAGGTGGGAAGTTGAGAAGGTGACTGTTCTGTATGTGTTATAATACAATTTACAGTTTCACTTTAATATTATTAACTCTTATATTTTGACTATTAAAAACAATGTTATATAGTGAATACTGAATGTGTCGGTATGACACACATTACATAATCTACTATCATAATCTTATCACATATTATTACAATGTTACATAGATAATATAAATTAGATAAGGTACAATCTATATTCATAACAGTGACATACATAAGTTATTTAATTTTTATCTGTACGCAACGATAACATATTCATAGTAATAAACGATTCTGAGCAAAGTTCATTTGTATTTATACATATTGTTTTGAATTGTAGCGTTATTTTTACGATTTTCGTCAAAATCTCCAATTAAAATTGTCAGGTCTCTACGATTATTTCTAACCAAATTACAACTAAAAACAAAAACGAAAATATTAAAACATAACAGTTTCATGCTTTAAAAACATGGTAATAATGCAGTAAAACTTTCCCGTTTTTCTTATGTTTTTATGGGTTTTCCTCAATTATTATGAAAACTCTTTAAAAATCAAAAAATGACCTTCTCAATGTACTAACTAGATCTAAAATCTATTTTATAAAAAAAAAATATTATAGTAGGTAATGTAAACGAATCTTAATGACCGTTATTCGAATTAAGTAATGATTTATTTTTGTTTACAAAAATATTATTTAAATACTAGGTTAAGGTATCTAACCTATGTAAACCTATACTGGTTATGTAAGTATAAGCATCAATCGATGGTATTAGGTAGGTCTACCTATAATTTGATATTTATGTTTCATTATAGGTACAGCTATATTCATTATGTAGGTACCTACTATTGTAGTTATTAAATATATTTTTAAAATATAATTTAGAATTCATAGAAATCTGGAGAATTAATTTCCAAATGTTAGGTAATGATTTTCTATTTTAAAAATATATAATTAAAATAACTGACTATTGTTTCAATATAAGGCTTGGCTAACGTTAAATATCTCATAAGTAACATTAATATTTCTGTTGGCGAAAATTAAATACATTATAATAATAATGTAAAATGCTTTAGTTCACATTATAATTGGAAATTATTATAATATTTCAAATATGTCAACACTATAATGTAATGCGGACTGCGGTTGTTACTGATGATAAATGACGATTATGAAAATGAAGTACGGGTTTGTTTTGAAAGGTACTTTATAACATTCCCACCAATTATCAAAAAAGAAATATATTTTTTTTTGTATATATTTTAATGATCAAAATATTGTCCATTAAAATATTAATCAAATTAACTATTAATATTAATATAAATGTATATAAATAGTTATAAGTTTAATATATTTACAATTTCGTATTGATTAGTAGCTAATTTAATATTTATAGCTGTGAATGAAGATATAATTACACCTTTGGTTCTATAAATTATTTTAAATTTAAATTTAGCTGAATAAGAAAAAAAATAGAGGCCAATGACGCGATCAATAACAAGACGTGAAGAGTCTTGTATCTTAAGTAACAACGAACATACTAGATTTACGCTTTTCTCTTACAAAATCTAAAGTTTAATAGTTCTTTCTGAAAATTGCGCTTTTTGAATAGGTAATAAACTAATAATTATTGAATATTGCATATTGACAGAGTACAGTGTTGTAAAATATTACTGATATGAAATTATTTAAAATTATTTATTTGTCTGTTTCTATCTCCGTTTCTAAGCTAAACATAAATGCTTATAAAATATAATAGTAAATAATTTATCCATTTTAAAAATATGTACCTTCATCAAATTTTTCATGAAAAAAAAAATATACAGATATTTTACTTCAGAATAATCTTAGATAAATTTAATAATAAACGTTTCTATTTAAAAGTAGGAAGATATATCTATAGAATCTAAAAATTATTGATACAATAAGCATAAAAAAATTAAATTTTTACAGACAAATATTTTATAAGGTAGGTATTTGTTATTTGATTTTCATATTATCGTTATATTACTATAAGAACTTGAATTAAAAATAGATTAAAAATACATAAATTTATCTGAGAGAATTATTTTAAGTGCCTATTATATTATAAATAAAATTATGTAACTTTTATAAGTAAAGCTGTACAAATTAAGCTGAGAGTATATTAAGAAATAAGACAATTTTATTGACTTACTTTTTTTATAATTCAAATAATGTAGATACCTACCACTATATTTACATTTATTCCTTACGGTAGTATTATTTTTTGATATGTTCAAAACTATACAAATTGAATTCAGAACAGAATAATATGTCATATTTGTCTATGTCAAAAACACACACAATAACCTTCAAAAGTTGTAGGTATGTATATAGAAAGTTACTAATGCGTTTTAGGGCTGGTTAAAACATGGACGTTGTTAAATCCTATATTTGATTGGTCAAAATTAGATTTTGTTTTTCAATATTATTTATGTATAAACTTTTTCAAACTTCCATTTATATTTTATGAAATATAATTTTGCTGTTATATTATTTATTATTTTACATAACTACCATTATTGTTTTTATTATTATATTACCATTAATTATAAAGACTTCTTATAATATAATATTAATTTGTATAATATACGTTATAAAGCATACACAGTAGAAATTAGGTTCTATATTTTAACAGTCAGACAGTTTCTAAATAACAACCCTGAGTAGTTGAGTGGCTTTTTGGAGAACCTAAAACTGCTTAAAACCATTAAAACAAGAATTATGTAAATCAAAAAGCATTATTTGTAATAGTGAAAGTCATAGTTAAAGGTCATGTTAGACTAACTAAAATGGTTTGCGCAAACCATATTTAAGTAGAAAGAAGTTGCTATGTCAGCTACCTCTCATTCTCAAATAATGTTTTTACGTGATCTGGAATTTATAAAATGTTGATAGTACAAGTGCAATAGATTTGAGTGAAGGTACAAATTTTAGATTTTTATTAATTATCTATGTCGTTTTGGAGCATAATGGATTGAATTATGGCATTACAAATGAGTTATTATATTATTTCCTATATAAATTTTCAAACTGCCAATTAATAATTAGATAAGTATATCAAAATGTCCGACAAAAACATTATGTAGGTGTAGTAGATTGTGATGTTTTGAAAAGAATATGATAAAACTCAAGCAATGTTTTGTACTTAATAAATATCTACTGGAAATATAACATCATAAAATAATACTGCACAATTATTTTTTAAGCATTTGTAGATATCTAATATAATATCCAAAATTTTAAAGAAAAAAATATATTAAAATGTTAAATATTATTTTTTATAATAGTATTATGACTATGTAGATGGTAGATCATAGAAAATATTATAGAATTGTAATTAATATAGGTACTAGTATCTGGATTTTTTTATTGTATCTGTGCACAAAAAAATGTATTAATTTACCAATGTCAAATATTGAATCTGAATTATGATAAAGTCTAAAAAAATTCAATTAAAAAAAAAAAGTTAATGATACTTTATTCTTGTGTGATTATAAACGAATTCAATAATTTCTTAATTAGAACATTTATGAAAATGTTATTTGTTTAGATAATAATTTGATGCAAACAAATTAAGTACAAAATATATTAGTATTACTGTAGGTATTCAATGTATTTCAAAGTTTTTCTTTAGATAATTTTTTTTTTAATCAAGCTACTTTTGTTTTTGACATTTTTTTTATATTAAAAATGATTAAATCTATTTTTTTTTAACACCATTCATATTTCAAAATATATACGAATTATATAGGAGTCTTTGTAATAAAACTACATAACTGTATCTTTTACAGCTTTTTGTGCATGTCATTTTACATAGTTTTACTTGTTGAAATATATATTGTACTACTTTGTACAAAATATCTAGTTTAATAAAATTTATTTAATGGATAATATTGTAAAATGTATTCAAAATTTACAATTTTATAGTTACATAGTTATAAAAGAAATGTGTACAAACTACTAATCCATTAAATTAGTAATAACATGACAAAATTGTTATTCTATAAGCCATTGGGTTTTTTTTTTTTTTTTATAATTAAGAAACAATTTTTTACTGTAGATACTGTAAAACCAATTCTGTGAATTTACATTGTACATTAATTAGAGTCTTTTAAGATACCTATCATTATTTCACACACTCTGTAATTATGTAAAACTAAAATAATATACCAATATATAGGTAGGTATATTTTTTAACACATTTAATAGCTAACTATAGTACCTAGTTTCATATACTTATAATATTGTATCTATATTTGAAATTACCTAGTTTATGCATGTAAATAATGTTTTTTTCAGAAATATTATTATAATTTTGTACGTACCTACCAATAAGTTCCTATTATGTAACACTAAATCCATATTTGTATAATGTGTATCATATAAATAGGTGAGTATTCGATTTGATAAGTGGTATAGGCGTAATTATATTTATTAAAAATATAAAACCGAACATAAACATAATATTAAAATCAATGTAGGTATTGTTAAAGCTTAGGTTAGGAAAGATGGTTACCCATATTTTGTTAATTTGATATTAGGTATAATGCTATAGGTATATAAAAATATATTTTATAATAATAAATGCAATTATTGTAAGCTCAAACAAATATTTAATAAACATAAAATATATATATTATAATAACTAATGAGTACATGCAAATTTACACTTCGTGTATAAATGATAATTTGTCATTTAAATTACGCGATTCGAAATGGATTTCGATCGATACCTACATTACTAGTTGTCTAAAGGTCACAATAAAACAACGTGATAATTAATGTGAAAAAAGTTTATTGCGCTATAGTACCATAAACTTTGTGTTTGACAGGAAAACGGCGATGTGATGCAAGATTAAAACGACGTAACAGGTATAATGTAGGTACCTGCCTGATATATTGTATTATACTATTTACATTTCATATTAAGGACGTAGGTACACCTATATAATAATATGCTCGCTAAAAAAGCCGCGTAGAAAAAAAAAACCAATTCATTATTGCGAGGTGAATTATTATTATCTATACATTATACCCTCGGGTGACCTGGATTCATACTATATACCGCGGAATATACGGGAAAGCTCGCGTTTTCCGGCGATACGAATACTATTATAATATACGAATTGCCCGTGCAACCCTTTTATCGTGTACGAATCAATTATTGTACGCTTACCTTGGCCGGCGTTCCCGGTGATATTGTCCTGCGGATGCATCGTGATGACGGGACACCGCCGCGGCGATTACATAAGTGCTACTATAAATAGGCAGTAAGTGTGCTCCGACAGTCTACATCAATGTTTTGCAGCGGCTTTGGTCATGGTACCCCGAGCTACCCGCGTGCAACAGATGGCCCCGCCGGGGCTCCTGGTCGCCGTGGCAACGGCTATTACAGGTGAGATGTTGCCCAGCAACCAGTGCCCAAAAATCCGGGCAAAACCAATGGCCCACATTCGTTAATCAATTGTCTCACCTTATATTATATCCTTTGACTTTTCTTTTATACGCGTACGTGGTCTACCTATACGTGCGAATGTGTATGTGTGCGTGTATTTATACGTGTGTATATTTACGCATGTATGTATATGTGTGCGTGTGCGCACGTCTACGTTTGCACGTATATAATATGAATTTTCGCGTATTCGTGTGTACGCGTTTGTGTGTAAAAGTTTGCGGGTGTATACACTTATTATTATTATGTGCATGCGCGTGTCCCGTGTGCGTGTGTGTGTGAGTCGTGGCCGCGCGCGCGCGCGCGTGCGCTCCCTCGCTTGTTTGTACGTGTGTCCTAGTGTGTGTGTAGTTTTATTTCCTTTCATACCTTGACATTCCTGCAAAATATATTCCAATCAATTTGTTTCCAAAGTTTGTTTTTTATTGCTTAATATGATATACAATACCTATATGCGGCTATGTATATATTCGATATTGTTTTCAGATTTAGTGTTTTTCGCTAAATAAATATTTAAAACATACTCCTGGAGTGCGTATTACCTATATCTACAATATGATTATTATATTGAAAATACATTTTTTACGTCATATTATATGACAAATACACCACCTACACTATACGTATATATACATACAATTAGATATAATTTAGAAACGAGTAGAACTACCAATACAATATTTTATAATGTGTATCAACAAGTTACTGTTTCTAAACTATAATATGGAAATTCTATTACAGTTTATAAATTAGTTATGTAGAATTAGATTTCTCGAGAGTTATCTATGAAATATTACGAGTCTATGACGTACTTACTTATTTTGAGTAGCAAACCTTTTTCTTGTCACCAGATATGAATTTTTTTCTAAGTTATTTTGATCTATAACCTAAACCTAAAATTGACCGAGTTGCAGCTTTTTGAAATTTGAAAATCGTTTGTTTTTTTCGACTGGAACCATGTACAGAAAATAATGGAAAACATTTTGAACATTTTATAAAATAACAAATTAAACATAAATAAAATAAAAAAGAGATGTTACTGGGGAAGAATGCTGCAACTGTTTTAGATGAGAAGTTGGGAAGGTAGGATAAATAAAGTTATTGACTTTATATTTTTATGCAACGATAAACCATTCCTTATGAAAAACGATTCAGAGCGTAGTTCAGAATAAATATTTTCAAATGCCGTGATTTTTACGATTTTCGACAAAATGTGATCTTACGCTTATCAAAAAAAAGCTTATGTATTACACTCAAATATGTTTTTTAAACCACCAAGTATGTCTTATAATGTGTGAAATTTTCAATATTTCTCTTCAGTCATATAATTTTAATAACAGATACTTACCAAATAAAAACACAAAAATATAAAATACAGTGAAACCTCTATTAATGGACACCTCTCGAGTGCACCCTTCCCAATAGTAGATAATTTTAAATTCCCCGACAAAAATACATCTACATACTAGGATTTATAACCTCTTAATAGTAAACACTCTTAATAATGGACGTAGACACTAAAAACTGGTACCAATATTAAAAATTACTTCTTATAAATAGACATGTATTGTACATGTACATACCGAAAATGTTTAAGTAATAAAAATACTATACATATTTTATTTTTTATATTTCATATTTTCATATTATTTCATATTTTATCTTGTTTTGATAGGACGTTATTCCGCATCTACTGGGTCAGTTCAACTACCGGGTAACACACAAAAACAATGCTTACGCAGAATGAGTAAAACTAACTTAATTTTGATTTTAGAGTAAAAGTACCTATTATGAAATATATAAAGAACAATATTTTGTAGGGAATGTCATGGGTGTTTTTGAATTATGAACTATTAAAAAATAAAAAAATAAAGGTTATTGTATCTTTTATATCGATAGAATTATACCAATTTTAATGTGTGTGTAAATGTATAACCAATTCTTTATAGTGCTTCCCTATAATGGAAATTTTGTAATTTCTTGAAAATGTCCACTATATGTAGAGGTTTTCTTAATAGTAGACAACTCCTTAAAGTGGACATTTTTTAATTTCTTATGGCTATCCACTATATAGAGGTTTCACTGTACCTATAAATATCCTAAAAATGACTAGAAAATCAAACAACGACTTTTCACTCATATATTTTCAGAAAACATGCTGTTCTTGAAATTTGGACAAAGATTTCTGGTAGAAAAATATAATCTTAAAAATTTAAAATAATGAAATCGTTGCGCCGTAATTTGGATAAAAGTTTCTTTTTCGCCTTTTTTTGGATTTCTCCAATTATTATGAAAACTACTTTAGATATCAAAAAATGACTCTCTTTGTCAGTGACTATAGATATTAAATGGAGCGAAATAGATCTCTTGTCATTTTTTGATTAAATTAATATTTCTAGTAAAAAACCTAATTTGCAAAAACTAAAAACAATGAAAATGGTAACGCCATAAATATTTGCCGTTATACCTATAATTTTTTTTCCGGTATTTACCAATTATTTTGAAAATCCCTTTGGAAAATCAAAAAGCAATCTGTTTAATGTATCAACTAAAGAAAATTTTCTTTCAAGAAAGATGCTATAGTATATACATTAGAACAAGACTTCTGATAAAAAAGCGGCTCATCAACAGAAAAAAAAAAATAAATGAAAAACTACACATCATAGTAAAAACAATAGATCTCTCGCTACGCTCCGAATCTAACAATATGCTATAAAGTAATTGTCATATTATTGTATAACATACATTTTCAAATCCATAATAAAATCACTCAATACATGTGTTTAAGTTTGTGAATTTTTAAATTTCAAAAAGCTGCAACTCGTTCAATTTTAAGTTTAGATCCATGATCAATGGATCAAAATGACTTAGAAAATAATGATCTATCCATATATGTTGACAAAAATGATGTTTAATATTCAAAAAATAAATTTTAATTGAGATTGCACCGAAAGGGTTAAAAACTGCAAATTATATATGTAGATACTTTAGTACTCTCCATAAGCCCATGAAAACTCCATTTCAATCTAAGGTCTTTAGGTTAACATATTTAATGGAACATATAAGACGAGACAGACTGGAGTATATACAATTTATATAATATAGTCTATAATGTATTCATACAGTGATGCATATAAAAATAAATACAATTTATTGGTACCTAGATGTTAATAGTTTTTATTTAATTTATTAAATTCTTCTTAAAGACTAAATTCGCTAATTTATTTGTATGCCAAATATCTTCAACAATATTTTGCGAAATATATACGATAAATACAATATTATTTCACACTTTGACAATATATAATGATACAATTATAGTATTGTCTATTGCAAGGCCTAAAATTGTCTGCAGTAGATAATAGTAAATGGGCAATAGCAAATTTAAAAGTGTCAGTACTTATTTTAGGCTCTTACACAGTTTTATTTGATTTATATTCAATATTGATTATTGAAAATAATTAAAATTATAAATTAGCATGTATTAATTTATTCAAACTCCTTAACACTAAAGATAATACCGACTACACTGTCTGGGCGGTACCGATAACGACATTTGTCTTTTTTACCTTGTTTGTCTAAATTCAACCATCATTCAGCAGTTTTATATTCACTTAAAAAAAAAAATAGGCATGCTAAGTTACAGCTGTATGCTATTAAACAGGAATGGTTTCAAAGGGTTCTTTCTGAAGCTGAAACCTCTAAAATTATTTCTTTTGCTGAGAATAATAGTACCAAAGTTTGTTTTTAACTTTAAATTATAAATTTATATAATTGTTTAAAATAAAACATTGTATTAAATGTTTTTCCCAGTAAAGTAGGTATTTGTTATTACTTAATAATATAATAAGTATATTAGATAAAGATGTTTATTTTTTTTTTCTGTGAACAACTTTTCTATCAGCAATTTTGCTCTAACATTTAATGATAGTAATATTTCTGAAAGGAAATTTTACTAAGGAGGTATATAAGAGAAGTCGTTTTTTTCATTTTATCCGATGTTTTCTCAGCAAATGTGAAAAACTGGGAAAACCGAGAAAATCGGTACAACATTAAATAAATATTATTAAAGAAAATATATAGATTCTATTTAATTATATTACTATAATGTAGCATATATGTTGTTGACAAAGCATCACTATCAACTGAACTCCTCTCAAAATCATCTTTTTGTAAGCATAAGCAATGGTTTATACCCGTCCCCATTATTCTAGGACGTCTTTTTAATTTTAAAATTTCTAGTCATATATCAAGAACTTTTATAGAAAATTGTCTTAAATTATATTTATTATAACTTATTATTAATACAACTATGCAGCGAAGATATATTTGAAATGTGCACTAAAATGTTTATATTCATTATTTTAAAATATTTTGGTGTGGGGAATTCGGTGTGCAGTAGCAAAATACCCTAATTTTAGACCCTGGTCTAATGATTCATTAATCGATACATACGATTTTTTTACTCAAAGTGAATTTTTACGTAAATATAATTTGTAATCATTTTAGATTCCTAATGGAGCACAAAATGTATTGATTTTACAAAAAAATTTTTTATTTTTTTTTTTATGTGGACACATTTTCTACCAGATCTTTTTCTGAAAATAAATTTTCTTGGGGTGGTACTTTAAAGAGGTCACTTTTCGATTTTTTCAAGAATTTTCCAAACAAATGTGAAAAACTGTGAAAAAATATGAGAAAACCGAGAAAACGGTAGGAAAAATGGGAAAATAAGTACTATATTAAACAAATATTATTGAAAAT